GAGGGGGAGGGGGGACCTGCATAGGACAGGGGTAGACGGCGGCATTACAGAGTAAGAGTCGCCTGTAGGCCGCATCGGCTGCGACGATGGTGGTGGTGGTTGATGGACAGCGGACAGCGGACAGCGGACAGCGGACAGTGGACAGCGGACAGTGGGCAGCAGTTAGTGGATAGTAAACAGTGGCCAGTGGTCAGTGGTCGGTCGGTGGTCACAGGTCTACGGAGTATTATTATCGTCACAGAAGAGGCATGATGTAGAAAAAGAGAAGAAGCGCTTGGTTGTACGGATCCTCCGTACAGGTAGTGATGATAGTATTATTATCAATATCATTAGCTTGTTGATGTGAGCCTATGAGCCGTTTCGTGGGTGAGGGGATGGGGGATGGTGTTTCATCTCGCTGGCAGTTGCCAGTTGAGCTACCGATTTGATGAGGGTGTGGAGGCCTGGGAGATGGGGGCGGCAGCAGTTGACCGGTCGAGGTGTTTTTTTCCCCCTCTCTCTCTCTCTCTCTCTCTCTCACACACACACACACACAGAGAGAGAGAGAGAGAGAGAGAGAGAGAGAGAGAGAGAGAGAGAGAGAGACTAGTACGAGTTGAAATACGACGTAGACGGGGAAAGTGCTCTCTCGCTTGTCTCGGTAAGCGTAGATGCGATGGATTGTCTCGGTGCGTTGGGCTGTCTGAGACGATCCAAGGCTGGCGCTTAACCACCAGTATTATACCACTTATGATAGGTGATTAATGGAGGAGACCGATATTGGAGCACTATGAGCATTGACTATTGCTGATCTCGTACGATACGTTGATGTAGAGATTACGGAGGCCGATGATATTCATATGAATGATGATACGAGGACCGGCACAGGAGATGCTGCTCAATTCTGAACGGACTGCCGAATCTCGTCTCCCAACTTGCCAATCTGTTTGGCGCCAACGGCCCGACGCAGGGTCCGCTGGACTCTTGATACTAAATTTTCCTCTCTTCATCTGCTCCGGACCAAGACCATCAGCCGTCAAGGTGTTGCCAGCACCGTACGTATGATAGTGTCGTTACTCGGTGTAGAGTATCCATACATGTAATCTGTAATCTGTACTACTCGTACAGTATCTCATTCCCGGAACATCACGTATTGATGCTCTGTATAGTCGTCTTTGCCTTTCCCATAATTCTAGTAGTAATATACGGATACCCGTAGACTGTAATCTGTACAGATTAGTCTGTATTAGATATTAGACTGCACTATCAACTCTCTGACAGGGAAAGTGCAAAGAGCAACGCATCGCGCCTTCCCCTTGATTTTCTCGGCATCTCAGACCTTTACTTTCTTTCCCCTCTCCTTCTCTTTTTCCTCTACAGGAAATATGATGATGCTACCACTTTTTTTCCCCCCCCCCCCCCCCCCCCTTCTCTTTCCCCACCTTCTCTTCTTCTCCTTCATTCTTCTTTCCTCTTTCCTACTGATACTGCATAGTATATCCTACTGCTACGTAACATACCTGCCCAACATCAAGACTACGTACACCATTATTCACTAGCAGTCTAGCACGTCTGTCCTATTATTACGACGGACAAGGTACGCGTGCTCCTCCTCCTCCTCCTTCCCCACTCTCTTGTCAGACCTTGCCGCCCCTTTTTACGACGGGCTCATACAGACTACGAGACCACGAGACCACGAGACTACGAGCACCGGAGTGATGCTACAATCTGTGCACTACGAGTACGGGTACACACGCGCCCATACACACACACACACACACACACACAATAGACACATATCGTGCACACGCAACATTCTTGTACCCTTTGTACTCACACATAACTCGTACCATCTATACTTTGTATTACATGCATGTAATCTGTACGCTGGCCGTGGCCATCTTGGCCCCGACCTCGCTCTCCCGCGGTCCTTGCCCAATCCGCCCATGCAGAGCGCCCGGTACGCACTCGTACCATGCTGCTAGTCATACCACCCCTGTCATACTCTCTCTACGAGTGCTCGTACTGGCCATCGCTAGTCCCCCTCGACTCTTCACCCAGAACCCCCGTACCAGTCTTATACCCTCCTCTTGCCCTGAAGAAAGGGGTGGGCCTGTGCTGTAATACAGAGCCGCTCTTCGTCTCCTTGGCACCACTCGAGCAGCACGCACACACCAGTACCCAGGTCTGGCGCGCGCGCAGCCTGATTCTTCCTCCTCCCTCTTTCTCCTTGACAATTCCTGCCTGCCGTTCTCCTCCTCCTCCGCCGGCAGACGCTCTTATCGCGTCAACTTCTTTCTTTCTTTCTACTTACTCTTATTCTGTTCTTTCCTGCCGTGTGTGTGAATGTGCATGCGATTCATGGGCTAATTGGAATCCAGCCACATCCGAAGCCAACCATCATACACTCGTTTTCTCACCTTTCCCCCCCCTCTGGTATCTCCCCCACGCGCGAAACGTTGTTGTCCGGTACACACGGCTTCCTTCCCTTCCCTTCCCTCCCTTCCCTTCCTGTCCCAGGCGAGAGAGAGAGGCGGACCGAAGAGAGAAAGCCTCGCGTCTACACACTGCTCTCTTGAAAGCGTCAGAGACGTCGACAGAGAAAGCATCTCACCTCCCAAGCTCCGATCTGCTTCACGCCAACCCCGGAACCCCGGAGCGAGACACCGTCACGCACCCCGGGCCCGTCATACACAACCCCCGTCTCCTGGCAGGCATCCGATGAGCGTTTCCCCTCAAGCACCACCGATACACCGATCAAGTCTCGGAATGTTGCTCCGTCGCAGCAAGAGTGGTGACCTCAAGGGCAAGAAGGCCCAGGCCCTCAGGGAGGCCGAGCTTGAACGCCAGCGCGCCGCCAACCGCGTCGCCCCCAAGCTCCCCGAGTTCAACAACCACTCCGAGAAGCTCTCCAAGTCCTTTGGCCCCGAGCTGCGCCCCGACTCCTCCAACGATGACTACGTCACCTCGTCCGCCGTCCCCGCCGTCCCAAGGGGCATCCGCTCCATCCCTCGCGACCATGGCTTCTCCGGCGTCCCCGTGCCCCCGATCCCCAACCAGCCCGCCGCCGACCCCTACGCGCGCACCGAGAGCATGACCCATCGCGGCCGCTACAGCTACGCCAGCAGCGCCGTCAGCACCATCAACAGCCCCAGGCGCGTCCGCAGAAGAAAGGACCCCACTCCTTTCAAGTAAGTCCCAGCCTCTCCGCCACGCCCTCCCGCTCTCCTCTCCCCCCTCCCTTCCACCATTCTCTGCTGACGAGGGGACCGAAACGAACAGCATCCTGATCCTCGGAACTCGCAACTCTGGGAAGACTTCCTTCCTCGAATTCCTCAAGTCGGCCCTCGCCCTCCCCGAGAAGAAGAGGGCGCGCAAGGATGAGGAGGAGGCCTTCAAGAGACCGACGCCCACGACCGGCAACTTCATCCCCCACTACCTCGAGACCGAGATGGACGGCGAGCGCATCGGCCTGACCCTGTGGGATTCGGAGGGCCTGGAGAAGAACGTGGTCGACCTGCAGCTGCGCGAGATCAATACCTTCCTCGAGTCCAAGTTTCAGGACACCTTTGCCGAGGAGATGAAGGTCGTGCGCTCGCCCGGAGTGCAGGACACGCACATTCACGCCACCTTCCTGGTGCTGGACCCGAGCCGACTCGACCGCAACGTCGCCGTCGGCCGCAGCATGCAGGGCCTGCAAAGCGGCCACGCCGCCCCCCTCCAGCGCGTCTTTGGCTGCCTCGACGAGGACCTCGACATGCAGGTCCTGCGCCTGCTGCAGGGCAAGACGACCGTCATCCCCGTCATCTCCAAGGCCGACACCGTCACCACCAAGCACATGAACGTCCTCAAGCGCGCCGTCTGGGACACGTTCCAGAAGTCCAATCTCGACCCGCTGGCCGCCCTCGGCCTGGACGAGGACAGCAGCAGCGTCTCTTCCGGCCGCATCGACGAGGAGGCCGAGGACGACGACGAGGCCAAGCCCGAGGCCAACCGAGGGGAGGATCACGACTCGGGCGTCGACAACGGATCCACGGTGAACGGCAACTCGCCCGCCGCATCCAAGCGCCAGTCGAGCGCGTCGCTCCGCAGACGCAGCGAGGACGACGCCAACGAGACGCCCTTCCTGCCCCTGTCCATCATCAGCCCGGACCTGTACGAGACGGGCGTCGTCGGCCGCCAGTTCCCCTGGGGTTTCGCCGACCCTTACAACCCGGAGCACTGCGACTTTGAGCGCCTCAAGGAGGCCGTCTTCTCCGAGTGGCGCTCCGAACTCCGCGAGGCCAGCAGGGAGCTGTGGTACGAAGGGTGGAGGACCAGCCGCCTCAAGCACAGGGACCTGCCCTACCGTCGACGCTGATGCACCGACATTCTTGCCAAGTTTGACACTTTTGAATCGATTTTTGCCCGGGGCAACTCAACAACAGAAAAACGACGATAAAAAAAAAAACAGTTTGACCTCGCGTGAGGAGTGCCATTGGCTGGCCCACCACATTACGGCCTTTTTTCTTCTTTTTTCCAACATGCTTGAACCTGGGTTCATATACGCTCTCTTTTCTTTCCTCTACTTGTTTTCATTTTCAATCATTTCTTCATCTGAAAGTCTCGGATCTCGTTTCGTACTTTTTTTTTTTTCCTTCTGCTTTTGCAAGTTCATTGGAAAACTCGCGGCATACCCCCTTTCTTTTTTTTTTTTCTTTCTTTCTTTCTTGTCTCGGTTATTCGGTTTTGGACGTGGTAAGGAGTGGCATTGCAGGAATCTGCCATTACTGTCAAGATTTGTCACCCCATGATCAGCATCTAGGACTGATTTTAGTTCAAGGCAAGACACATGACTTTCACACGTCCCTCCCCCCCCCCCTTCCCCCCCTAAAAAAAAGTCACATGTATCTATCTGGTTTTGCGATTTTGTATTCAATCCTTCCTCCTCCTTTTTATCATCATATCTGTACATGGGAACCAAGGCTGGTCAGACCTCCCGTTCCACTCCCCCCCCCTTTTCTTCCATTAAAAGGCAGGCAGTGTTTGATTTACACGATCCTCTATAGACACTTTTATTCCTCTTTTGTAGAGTTTGAGTGAATTTTTTTTCCCCTTCGGTATGCAAAAATAGATACAGTGAAACAATTTTTTTTCTCTTCAACCAGACGAGTGATGTATTTTCATCGGTGAATATTAAGTATGTAATTACTTGTCAAACTCCTGACAGTATTCTTGTCATATACACTCACGGAGGTGTACTGCAAGACGACGGGAAAAGGAAAGAATAATATGCGCATCGATCGAAGCTCGAGAAGAATTGTATATATATATATATATATATATATATATATATAAAGAGAGAGAGAGAGAGAGAGAGAGAGAGAGAATAACAAATATGACGGGAGAAAACAGAAAAAAAAAAAGAGTCTAGTCGATATCCATAGCCAGGGTATGAGTAGGTTCACCATCAGGAGTGATATCGCTCTCCAAGCGGAACGGATTCCTCCCATACCTCAGCACGCGAGCAACCTCCTTCTTACTGAGGGAGATCTTGTCAAAAGACCGAGGCAGCACCCGGTCAGTGATGAGGTAGTCCACCTTGAGGTTACGAGCCTTGTCCCGGATGGCCTGCTGTTTGCGGGCGGGGGTGAAGCGGTGGCCATCCCTGAACTCTATGACGGACCAGACGGCCTTTCGTTTGTCGATGAGGTGAACGAGCAGGCGGGCGTCGGCGTCGGACCAGGCGTGGCGGCGACGGGCTGAGGCCGCCGCCTTGACTGCGGCAGCCATGAGTCGGTTCGACGACGACAACGACGACGACGATGACAGGCCGGTAGCAGGAGGCGGGGAGGGGTTGGGGTGGGAGCCCTTCCGGTTCCGATGCTTCCCGATGGCGTGGCGGGTGGCCTCGACGCGCGAGCGCATCCGTGACGTCTGCTGCTGCCGCTCGGGGTTCTCCGTTGGCGTGTCGTCGTCGTCGTCGTCGTCGTCGTCGTCGTCGGCGTGGTAGCCGCCGGGTGGGGAGCGTGGCATTGGTGGTCGTGGCGATCCGGAAGGTTTGGATGTGCGAAGGGCGACAAGGGATTCTATGCCGGTGAAGAGACTCCTGTTTTTTTTTCTCTTTGTTAGGAATACATGGCCAATGACCAAAGAAGGGTGAAGTTGAAAATTCAAGAACAAGGGAAGAAAACACATCAAGAAAGGGAATGGAAGTAGAAGAAGAAAAGAAAAAAGCAAAATCATACCTATGTGCATTCACTGTATCGCGCTCGATAGGTTCAAGGTCGAGAGACTCGACGGCAGACTGGGTCGACCCCTCGGCAGGCTGGGACATGGCATCTTGGAAGTCGTCGTCCCCAGCGGCAGGGCCGGCGCCGCCGACGTAGCCATTGGCATACACGCCCAGGATCCAGTCCCACAGCCTGTCGAGCGTGTTGGAGAGGGGGAACATGTCGCGCAGCCTGTCGAGGCTGGCCTCCTTGGAGGCCCTGATGGTGCTGCATATGCGGCCTATCCTGCCGTAGCAGGCGTCCTCTACGAGCTCTCCGCTCCGGTGGCCCAGGGGCTTGAAGTACTCCCCGTTTGACAGGATGGCGGCATAGTCCGGCTTCCTGCCAGCCGTCGAGGGCGCATCCTCGCAGAAGATGGAGACGAGGACCGGGTTGGCCAGGGCGAGCGTCATCTTCTTCCTCGACGATGAGGACGACGGCGAGGGGGAGGAGGAAGAGGGAGAGACAGCGGTGGCCAACGCCTCTATCGCGTGGGCGGTGCGCACCTCGAGGGAGAGGTCTAGGCTGTTTGCGTTGGCGCCGTAGGGTCGGAAGAGCTCGCCCATGAATCCGTCTAGCTCGGCGAGGCGGTCGACGAGTTCCCGGCGCGACACTTGGTGCGCGCGGATGCGCTCGATCGTGTCCAGCACCGAGACGAGGTTGGCCTTGGCGAGCACGACGAGGTCCCGCTGGCCGTCGTCCAGCCACGAGTAGTCGATGAACGGGTACCCCGCCGGGTGCTCGTACTCCCTGCGCACGGTGAGGAAGGTGTCGCGACGCACGGAGAGGAGGCGCGCGAATACGGCGCTGCGTCTGTCCGACTGCAGCTGCGTGGCGAGGCCGTCTGATGCGCGGGACAGGTCGGGGAGGCTCTGGCGCATGACTTCTCTCCTCACTTGGGATTCTTCGTCTTCGTCTTCGTCTTGTCCTTTTTCTTCTTCTTCTCTTTCCTCTTCTCCTTCTCTTTCCTCTTCTCCTCCTCCTCCTCCTCCTTCTTCTCCTTCTTCTCCTTCCTCCGGCTCTTGATAGGCATGTTCATCTCCTGAAAAGTCGCTGATGTTCTGCAAGTCGCCGTCGTTCCCTGCCGGATCAGGGGAGGACTCAATTACCGGGGCGGACGGGGCGCCTCGACGGGCGGCATACTCCATGTAGTCCCTTTTGTCGGTGCCGTCTTCATCTTGGCTGGATGAATCTTCAGAGACTTCACTCTCTTCTGGCTCTTGCTGCCTTCTCCTCGGCAGCTCCTTTTTTATGGTCTTGGACTTTTTGCTTCTTGTTACCGCCCGTTGTGCCCTGGATTTCACTGTTGTCTCTTCTTCATCTTGAGATCTTCTCCTCCGGCTGCTGCGAGTGATCATAATTTCGTTGTTGTTGTCGTTGTTGTTGTTATGACGTGGGACGTTGAGTCGGGAGGTGGGGAAAAAAATTCTACGGATAGGACGAAATATGAAAGGAAGAGAAAAATCACAACGCGCAATGTAGTCCTCTCCCCATGGTCAGTTACGGAGATCTGGCGTGAGGATTCCGTCCAATTAATTACCATTTACCCTGATCCCCTACCCCTAAACCCTAACCCCTAATTCCCTATTTGAAGATGGGGTTTGGGGTTAGGGATAGAGCTTCTCATTGGCCACTTGCGGATCTCCTGTCTCCACAGTTTGATCTGGGGTACTGAAAGTGACGTAACCTTGGGTCAGAGTCTGATAAAGTCTGATGCGTTTGTAAAGAGGAATTTTTATCATGATGAACTTATTCAAATAACAAGGACCGTTGTGGCTTTCAGAGGAGAAATGGCCATTTTCAGGATTGTATTCAGGGTGATGGCGATGATGTTGAGAAACGTTCTTTCCCCTCAAATTGTACCCGTCCTAGTATGAATGTAAATACTTTGCATCGCTCCTTTCCACATTGATCGTTCATTCACCCCCCCCAGATTTGTTCTTCGCGACTTGGCTCCGCTCGCTGGTCCCCTCGTCGTCTTAATATATAGCTTCTAGCCTGGATCTGCTGTTTGTTCTACTGCTGTCCTCCTCCAGAGATGTGTGTCTGATGGCTTGTACTCTTCGGTCGGATAATCTATGGTTTTATTGTCGTCACTGACGTCATTGTCTCCATCCCCAGCTTTTGACACGAACTCTTCATATCACCTTGTGCTGCTATACTCGTCGCTGCTGTGATTATTATAGGGTGCTTCTGTTCTCTGCTGATGTTGTACTCCGGATCGTTATCTTCGACCGAGTGTCTGATGGATGTGCTGTTTGCCCTAGTCATCATGGCTTTGTTCTTAGTCTTGGGGCCTACTTCCTCCCATGGTCCTGTTGCCCTCAGACATGTCCGACATGAGCTGTGTTTGGCTCAGTGGATAAAATGGAAAAAAGAAGAGAAAAGAAAAGAAAGAGAGGAAGGTGGTGGGAAGGAAGACAGAAAATACTAATGTTTTCGTTCGGATAGTAAGGTTGGAGATATCTTGTAGCGTCTCTCCACGATAGGGTTTACGATAGTCTTCAGATAAAGGACACAAGGCACATAACGTGGTGCGAAAAGAAGAAGATAATAGAAAAGGTGTATGTATTTATATTAGCTCTAATCCTCTTCTACCTCTCTCCTCCTCACTATTCCTCTTATCATCCCCCCTCTTCCAGGATCTACGGAAGGCCCTCCTCCCCCCAGATTCCCGTCTCATCAGCAGTCCCTCGGGGCAGGGACGAGGAACGTGACACGTCTTTTCGTCAAAGGAAGACTCGGTTCTTCTTCTCTTCAGAACTAGAGAGAGGAACAATTCACGGCGTATAGAGAGAGATATATACCTCTTTATATACTCCTATGGGAAGAAGCATCAGTCAATCACTGGGAAGAGATCGGGGGGCCATGATGTGAATAAGAGGTTGGGAAACAAGATCAAACGCCGTTATGAGCTAATAAACAGCAACGTCCAGTCGTCGGTGCCTTCTTGTAATGCCTCCCGTATTGCGTGAATTGCGATACAACGACCCATAACAGCAGTAAATCCAGCCCGAGCAGTGAAGAAGTGAATGTCGTGAGACGAAGATGAAGAGCCCTCGTGGCCTACATGGCTCTTGAGTCAAGTTGAACGGAGCGTTCCAGCTCCACGATGTCCTCTCTTATCTCATTCATATCCGTGACATGCGCATCCAGTCGGCCCATAATCTTCATCATCCTGTCCTCGTTCGCGCTGTAAATTTCCTCGTAATTCTCGAGTCCGATGTGCAGAGACATGACAGCCGTGATGTGACGCAGTTCATCAACTTCCCTCTCCACCGAAAGGGCGAACAGGTCGACTTGGTTCAGGTGACTACTGACCATGGAAGCCTCGACCTCGTGGAAGGCCTCCAGACTCGATTGGATGGTCAATAGATTATCCCTCACGGTGGTGTGTGATGCGTCCGCCCGTGTCTCAATCATGTCGAGCATGGTAGTAAGCCTATGTAGGCGTACCATATCCGCGGCGGCTCTGTCTGGATGAGAAGGAAGCCCTTGCATCTCGTTAGTACTTCTCTCCTCTCAAGTATTCAATATGAAGAAACAAGAGGGAATAGGGAGAAATGAGAGGGAGAGTGAGAGAGAGAGCGAGAGAAAACAGGGCAGTCAACTTGATACTTACTTTGTTGGTGGCGACGAGTCGCATTACAACTCTCGTAAAACCATGAGATGACGCAGATACATACGAGGGCCACAGTAACATAGAGCCATGTGTAGGATTTCTCTGTATATGGTGGCTGTGGGGTGATGTTGTCTGGCATAGTAGCTGGCGTGGTTGTTGATCGATATTGAATGATGGAATAGTATATTCATGCCAAATAGGACATAGGATGTACACGTTCCGAGAACTAGGCAGAGGAAAAGGAATCCTCTAGACGGGAAGCAATGTAGCTCGAGTACGTTCCATGTCCCTCCTTGAATTTGACCAAAAGCTTCCAGTTCAGAGTTATCGAGAGTCCATGTGATCGTGGAGCCTCCCGGATAGAGGCTCTTTACGATGAGGGAAGAAAAAGGGGTCTAGGCGAGGTAATGAACTTGAACCATAAGCACAAGGACTAGAAACTTCATTGTCGTGATAGGGATTTCCAAGTGACTCTACGTCTTTTATTTTCATTTCTTATAGAAATAGTACGAGTATATAAGCCCCGTACACATCAAAGACTTGAACGACTGAGGAGTTGGTTATAGAAACCGAGCCTGGACATGGCCATTTCAACCAGAGAGAACCCCTGACTGGTTTATCTGAGTGTCTCTAGTAATACATCATCTCCATCATCACTTACGAGTGCATTGATCGAGTACATTCGAATGCGTTCCCATTTCACCCGATAGCCTCCGACATGAGGCCCTGTAGATGCATGTGCTTAACTTCACACCCATCTGTCAGCCATCTGCGCCATGCCAATAAGCTCTGAATGATATATTACACTCTGGGGTATCACGAATAGACTCGTCCCATCGTTGCGAGCATATATTCACATGTATAGAAACGCTCTTAACCAGACAGGAGCTCTTTATCCCAAATTTTGGAGTTTCATCAAGTCAGTCAGTCTCAAACACGACGTTGAAGTTCATCAGAATACTCACCATGGCAACCCTTCGTAGTCTTCACGGGTCAGGCCCCGAGCAGCAAGAATACAATGACGTTGTATGCTCTGAGCTAGAACCATTCGAATCATTATCCGTATTGGATACATCATCATCCAAGTACACCGACACCATACCCGACTTACCCAAGCAGAGGAACCCCTTCAAGAATATCCGTCTATCCAAGATCCCCTGGGTCAGGAAGCTGCACGGGGCGACGCGTGACCCGCTGTCCCACGTGCCTCTCCTCTCATCGAACAAGTACAAGAGCCCCGTCTGCCCGGCGACGGGCCGCGTGTTCTGCGCCGAGTGCCAGGAGGCCCGCCGGAGCCGCCGACCGACCTTCAACAGTCGCCTCTCCCTTCTCTTCAAGCCCATGTGGTGCAGCGGGTGCGAACGCCGACACGTGGCGGCTGACTTCTCGCCCTCGCAGCGCACGCAGCCGGACGCGAGCCGCGTGTGCGTCGGCCGTCAGGGCTACCGCACCGTATGCTCCCACCTGAAGATCCGCTTCGACACGCTCACCCTCAATATGCCCATCGACGACGGTGAGTGGCGTGCCGACAGGTCCGTCATCGTGTGCTGCGGTGACGAGGTCCACAACCTCGGCTCGGTAGGCATCCTGTCCTGTCCGCTCGAGGTCATCGACTTCTCCGTCACCGAGACCCGCTGCGGTCCGGGGCCCGACGAGGAGAAGAAGAATCACGTCGCCCTGATCGAGTGGGTCGCCACGCTGCCGCCCAAGCCCCTCGATGATGTGGAGTCCCTCGAGAAGGAGGCCGCGGACCTCATCGAAGGCCTGTTTGCCGCATCCCCGAGGTCGTTCGGCCCTCTGTGGACCACGTCTCCCGAGGGCCTCCGCGAGATGGAGAGCTATGTCAACAAGGGCTATGATGGGGACACGGTGTGCCTCAGCATCGGCAGCATCGCCCCCAGCGGCTCCCACATTGAGGTGTGGCCCGAAACCTACAACTCGATACCGCCCGGGTCCGGCTCCGGCTCCGGCGAATCCGCCGAGGTCTGTCAGATCCCCAGCCACATACGGTTCTCGTGTACCTTCGACTTCGACTGCAAGGATGCCTGCTCACCCGGCTGGATCACCCAGCTGGACCCCGACAGCTACGACCACTTCGCCGACCCAGCCACCAAGAACATCACGTGGTGCGACGACAGGAGTTGCGCCACGTCGTTCGAGCTGATCCAGAACAAGGCTCTCAGGGAGCTCTCCCACAAGACCAACGTCGAGTACTCTTCCTCTTCTCTTCAGCGGGCCACTCTCAGGCGCATGTTTGAGGAAAAGGCCCAGCTTCTGAGGCGTTGGTCCGGTGGGTGGGATCGACGTGACCGGTACCAATACAGGGATCCGCGAGGGAGAGGAAACCGGGTAATCACTTCAGCGTAACTGTCGAGAGCATCGTATACTTTGGATATTGGCGTATGGCACGGACGACTGCCTTCTTCCCCGGTGCGAAGACACCCTTTATTGTCGTGGATGTCATTCGTGGGCAGAATATCGACAGCAAGACCTTTTTATTCCTAGACGCGTCAGCAGCCCAGCGCAAGAACATGTTCACCGATCTTGTCGATTTCACGGCTCAGCTACGGGCAGCTTCAATTCCTCACTGGGGGCTCCCTTGTTGGCAACGGCGGCCACGAAACACACATAGGGCCCATCCATTATTCGATGGCAGCGAGTAAATACCAGCGAAAAAAAAAAGCATATAACACTCCAGCAGAAGATCGCAGGCAATACGGGAGAGCCTCTAGAACGTCGGGTCGAAATTATCCAGAGGGCGTGTCAACTTCCGGCTTCGGGGACTATTGATACTGCCCAAGATCGCGAAGCTAAAGGTTTTTTTTGCACTCCATTCTTTTTTACCCGTCGTCCGTCACCTTCTTCATTTGATCTGATAGAAAGTCTTCCCCGGTATGACCCTTGGCAATGTCACCGAGACTCATCACCATCATCTGGCCGTCGACGTGGACGCCGTGACTGTCGGCACATGAGTCCTGCCGCATTTGATAGGATCGAAAAGAGCCGTGACGCCCTCTGTCGGAAATGGAGACTGCTTCTGACAGACACCGTCTGGCCACCATCACGATACCGACCCCGAAGCATGAGAGGCTCCGCCTCACCATGCATAGCGCCTTCATGGTTCAGCTGGCAAGCATGGGCCTCAACCGCGAACGGATCTCGACAGGACCGACAACGTATCCCATGGACGGGCATGGCTCTCGTGGCGAGGCCGACTCTGCAGGGCTGCCCCTGTCGCGCCATCAAGAAGATACATGGCCCACCATCGTTTTCGAGTCAGGATACAGCCAGTCTCAGTCCAGCCTGAGGCAGAAGATGCGGTTCTGGTCTTCGAGATCGGCACATCAAGTCAAAACTGTCATTCTGGTCGAGGTCGACCCGGGAAGTGACGATAGGCGCATATCGATAGATCCGTGGCGGAAACGACCACCATCAGCTACAATACAGGTACCGTCCCGGCGCAACACCGACACGCGCATCATCGGCGGCCTCGAGTCTTCAGCCCGTCTGTGCCCAAACAATCACCGTCGTGTGGCCTCACCCGACGCGCTTCGAAGACGCTAGTGCTGAACAGAAGCTAGACAGGCAATCGTATAGCGTTACTAGGGGACCACTGCGGCTGGACTTTGAGTGTCTCCTCCTACAGCCGCCGATGCCACCATGAAAGAATGACATTTTGATATCAAATGAGGAGCTGGTGTCATGTGCGTTGCGGGTGTGAATTTTTTAGACTGACTGTCTCATCATCTAAAGTATGACCGTAGGAGTTCCATGTGCAGTTGCAGTATAATAACACCAGAATAACACAAGCTGATATGCCAAGAAATACAAGGGTTGGAAGCCATCTCTCCGGATGGTCCCAATGGAGCTAGAGGGTCACGGCATGGCTGGTAATACAGCACATAGAGAGAGCGCATGTTGTCCTGATGATCATCATGTATATGTATTATGCAATACTCCCGGAAAAAGGAAACAAAATGCTTTACCTGTCCTGTATCTTTTTCTTCTAAATGTCGACTGCTCTTTCCAACACCTTCTTTCTTCCATGTCTTTTCTTATGCCGGCTCTCCAGGAGGCGGCGACGACAGATGACCTCCGGCGTCTGGGTCGTCAACGCTACCTCTCCGGCCCCAGTTTAGCGGCTGTCTCTTGAGAAAGGCGCCGACGGCACCGAGATATCCCTCGTGACGGAGGAAGTAGGCCTGCTTCTCGCCCTTACTCCAGAACTTGATGGCGTAGCTGAGCGTGTTCATGGTCTGGCGGTGGCCGCGGATAAAGGATCCGCCAAAGTATATGTTGGAGAGATTGTGGATCTGGGACTGGAGGTAGGCGATCTGACCTATGTTGTTGGAGATGGCGTAAAGGAGGGATCGCGAGATGTCAGCGTTGGAGAAGGGTGGTCCATCGTCGTCTTCGACCTGCCTGTCGTCGTCGCCGTCGTGAGCGGGCGGCTGGTCGTAATGACTGACTTCACCCTGCTCCTCCCCGGCGGCATCTTGCGTGGCTGTACCGACCTCGGCCCCGCGATTCATACGGAAGACCTTACCAAACGATGAGGCAATCGTGGTGCTCTTGAGGCCAATCTTTCCGTAGTCTGTGCCGTAGATGTCTCCGACGAGCATGTCGACCCTCGAGTTGTCACCGTTCTCGGCCTGGCGGAGCATGTCGTCAAAGGACCGGGCGCCCGTCAGGAGTGACAGCAGGCCCCAGAGGGTGCCTCCACCGAGAGAGGTACCGCCGACACGCTGGAAGGATCGCGGACCCGTCACTTTCAGCATGGACACCCCGGAGCCAATGTTGACGAGCAGGTATGGATATATGCTCTCTTGGGGACTGGCAAAGTGCATGGGGTCTGTCTCGGAGTAGGTGAAGACTTCGCGGGGGATCTCGGTGATGAAGAAGTCGAGGCCTGTGCACCAGTTCAGTCAACGGAATTCTAGGATCTTTTCTCTTTTCCTCTCTCTCTGTTTTCTTTTCCCTTTTTTTTTTCCCTTTTAGGGAGGTTGACCCACCAATAATGAGGCATTCCATCTCATCCTCTCTCGATACGTCAACGTCCAGCGCAGCACGTATCTTGTTATAAAACTTGTATGCGCCGCCACCAGTGGCCATCACAGACAGCTCGGAGGGGCGAGACCCATTGAGGGTGAGCTGATCGCGCAGTCCTCTCATGAATACCACGCAATCGTCGATGTGATCCGTCTCGAAACTCTGAAAGTTGAGACGGCCACCCGAATCGGTGGAATCGACCTCGCGAGAGAAGTAGACGAGCTTGATGAGGGATCCTCCAATCTACAGCAACCAGAACGGATCGCGTGCGTCAGCAGTGAGAGAGGCCAATTGGGGGGGTAGGGGTATAGGGAGTAGGTGGAGACAAACGTCGACTGCGATATGGCTCACAACTGCCGTATGGTTTGGTAGCCGGATATCGCTTGTCGTGGGACTGCTGCCTCCTCCATTGTTAGCCGCCGAGGAAGGTGCCGCTGCCGAGGGCTCCGGGTCGACAATGTAAGCGCCCTTGACGTTGATCCTGACGCTTCCGGGGCGGATAATGGTGTTGTCAATCTCCTCGGTCGAGGTCATGGTTCGCGGCCGCCGGTGATGGCGGGAGCGCGTCGGACTGTCGGGCCCAACAGGTGTTTGCTGGTTCGCAGATGGAGTCATTGTGCGTATTTGTGTGTGTTCAATGTGCTGCAGGATGGTTGTGTGGAGAGGTGCCGAGGCAGTAGCTACCGCGAGTCGCAACTGGCACCTAGCAGTAGTAGGTAGTAGTGGTAGGCGGTGACTTGTCTCGGTCAGCGGAGAGGGGCGAGGGGTGCATGGGCGGCGTATGCGATATGCGACAAAACTGACAGGCAATTCTTCCTTCCTTCTCTCGGCCAGAAGGATAAAAGGGGGGGTAACAAGCACATAGAGCTGTGCAGGGTCACAAAGAGAACGTCTATCGGCCCATTCTCGTGTAATAAGTAATAAGCAGTACGGGTAGTGTAGTATTAATAACTGCGACCCGTGCTCCGTTCAAGCGGAGGAGGGGCGCACCTTCCCTTTGCTTCTGCCCCACCACCTTCCTCTTTTTTTTTTTTTTACCCCGTTTCTTATCGATAAAGCGTTTATGCGATATAATATCTGTGAGGATTGCCGCTACCGGGACCTCGGGTACGATGCAGCATCTTGGCATGGAGTAATAATATATGACGTTTTACTCGTTTTAGTGGCTGAAATCTCTTCAAAGCGTGGATGTTGCGAGGTCGGCTGCGGCTGCTGTTACTTGTTGCTGCGATTGCGGCGTGGATGGGGTATTATTATGTGGCATTTCTAAAAATGTGAGTTGCTTTTTTACTAATGCCTCTACCGTTTTTTTTTTTTTTTTTTTTACACATGAACGATTATAATAGCGCAAAAAATGCTTGTAAGGCGGGTAAGGCTGTGGAGCGGCAATTCCTCGTTGTGAGGCAAGTTAATATAGGGCGAGTGCTATTGCCATCAGTGAGGCAATGATCAGTGATGAGTGAGGCAAGCCGGTAAGGCGGCCTACACTTTGATCTTGCAATGTTGATATATATCACGGCTCCCGAGATATCATCTTTCATTCCTCGGCTAGGATCAGAGAACGCGGGGCTATTGGTGGTAGTATACTCATGAATTTATCCTAGGTAGGCTGTATGAAACGTAGTGTCTTTAGTTCCTCCTCTGCCGAGGCTTATGGAGTCAGTCGTCAGTACCAGCCAGTCGTCCTCTTCAAGCATGTCGTGAAATGGATATACAACCATCAAACATAACACACAAAGGGCACCTTCATGCACCAGCATTCATCAGTGATACCCATTCGCGAACACAATGATAACAATGATGAAGGGTTGACAGAGGTTAGATTGTTGTCTCTGCTATATACCATCTATACATAATACGCGCACTGTTTCCGGTAGTTGAACATGCAGGGTAGCTTAATATACGCCGCCTATATTCCATCTTGTCCTGGACATGACATCGGACAGTTCTCTCCGCTCCTCCCTTTCAACCTGAAGGTGACGCTTGCTTGTCGTGAGGCAAGATAGAACGCTGGTAGGACATGTGGTCGATGACGGTACCAAGGCACCATTCGCAAGTATAATCAGTAGTAGATACCGAACTGGAAGGGCTGAAGCTCGCGCTACGATGGGTGACGGCATCATCCAACGGTGCCTTCTCCAACCTCTTGTCACGTAAACCCTCGGCAAGGGTCACTGACCCTTCTTCTCCTTCTTCTCGGCCAGTGACGGAGCTGTTCGATCGGGGCCAAAGCAGCCAATAAAGTACAGAGATCGCATCACGAATAGGAAGAGCTGGTGACGAGGCAAAATCAGCGCTGGCTCTCGCTTTCAATCCATACTCCCAACACTCTGACCATATGAGGGGGTACGGAGGAGCCCGGGGAGGTATGGATTTGATAGCATAGAAAGGGGATGACAGTATTAGTAAGTCATAACACGAGGACATACGGTAAAAGCGACATTCCCTATGGTCATGGCGTTCCATGCAACAGGCCTGGAGAGCTTGTTCAAGCCCATCCCGTAGGCAGTGAGACCAACGTGACCTACGTCGCCCACAGCAAGAACGAAGAGATAGGCACGGACGACACTAGTCTCGGTGGTACTATGGAGAACGGCAATGCCCATAAAGGCCATGAGCAGATAGAGATTGCCCAGCTGCCAAGCCACCATGATGCTATTTTCATTGGCCAGAACAGGCCCGGACTCGGGGATCTGCTCAGCAATGAACCATGCCGGGTCGATAATGGCGCCACAGAAACCGGCCATTCTACTCGAGCACTCGTCAGTTGTGTGTGGAGTTTTTTGGGCTCGTGGGTGAGTGGCACTATTAGTAACGGAGTATAATACTCATACTAGTAATATTACCTCTGGGTCCCCCGTCCCCGGTCCCGACATTTGATGAATTGCATTACTACTCACAGTGATATGGGCTCGACTACCGAGAAGATGAGCCGAGGAACTGGAGGGAGGAGTGACGCCATGATTACAGCATGCGCACAAAGAAGGGTGTGAGGAAAGAGAAGAGAAGAAGGAGAGAAAAGAAAAAGAAAAGATATCAGGACTTCTGGACGTGGTTAGTTCGGATCTTGTTGAGCTTTCAATTCAGGTTTCTAGCAGACTCGTTGTTGGGGCACACCGCAGCATTGGAGATTGGAGAAAAAAAGGAGAGACACACACAGTTGAGAGCTTTGCGCTGCTAAAAAACGAAGCGGGGAGGCGGCACGAGTGCGCCTCTGTTAGTATCCACCCGCTTAATCTGCTACACGCTACTAACAAATTCGGGAGCATTCACATGCAAACTTCTTTCACGTGCAAACGAAACCACTCGAACATGGGTGTGTTGGGCTTTTTTTTTCTCCTCATAATATACCACAATGCAGGCTTGGTGGTGGTGGTGGTGTCACTACTCTCCGTAATGCTACTACTGGACGCTTTCTCCTGCGTCGCCATGCCCTTGGGCCTCTCTCCTTCTTTTTTCAAACACGAGACAGACGTGTCCATCAGATCGCTTCCCCTTCCTCTCCATGCAAGAGTTCCTCGCCCCCGCAGCCCATGATGGCTACGATTGAGCCTCGATTGATCCATCTGCTTAACAACTCTACCACGCCTGAGCTGTCCAACGCCGACCTCCCCCCCTTTCATACCCTCCCGCTTCCCGACACCGACCGTCAGCTGCCACCCCTCGACCGAGATGCGAGCCAGAACCAACGCGGCGATCGATTCGCAGCAACAGCCGACGGCACCCCGAAACGCCTGCCGCACCACCACCTTGTCGGCGAGGACCATGGGTCCGCCAGGCCGCCACCGCCGCTGTCACTCCCCCCCGACGAGGCAAACCTAGGTCTTGGCGGCTATGCAGGCAGCTCCGACCTCTACCCGCTACGCATACTCCTTCGAGAGTCCGATGCCGTCGTCGACTCGTCCTTTCACCTGGGAACCAGAGGTTCCGACGATATAACGATAACCGCCGACGCCGCCGGAGCCACCCCGTCCGATGACGCCGCCAACAAGAAACGAACACGTGCTGTAGCCACCAGCCGCGACGACTATCTACAGCTGCCCCAACCCGTCAAGAAACAGAAGCCCGCCGTCCATGCTTCCGTCTTCCCCCCCATCATCAACGGCCTTCACGAGCCACCCCCGCACGCTGCCCTGTTCCCGCCCATCGCCGCCGATTCATTCGGCGAGCGAGATTCGGGCCATCTCAAGTCCCTGCACAGCTCCGATAAACGACCACCTGCAGATGATAGCAATAGCAAGTCAGGCCAGAAGACACCTCCCGAGACGGACAAGTCACAGATTGCGTCGTCTTCGGTGAGGAAACGCGCAACGAAGCCCAGGCGGAAGTGGTCTGAGGACGAGACGAACCATCTTCTCCTCGGAGTCAGCAAGCACGGAGTTGGAAAGTGGAGGGCCATCCTCAACGATCCCGAATTCAAGTTCAACAGCCGATCAGCTGGCGATTTGAAGGACAGATTCAGGACATGCTGCCCTGCCGAGCTCCGAGATGCAAAGGGCGAAACCTCCTCACCCACTGCTACTCCGAGCCGGTCGCAGCAGCAGATGGCCAACCCTAGCAAAAACAAAGGCCTGCACTCAGAAAACATCCTCCACCAAGAAGGAGATTCTGCCAGCACCCAGCCAGGCATGATCACTCCCCCGACCGAAGCCGCCGTCGGCCCCACCGACGACTCTTCGTCATCGAAACAGAAGAAGACTCGGGCACACCGCAAGAAGCTGGCGGATCTGGAGGACCTTGGGATCCACGCGCCCTTCAAGAAGTCTCTCCGACGAGAGAGACGGCCTTTTACGGACCAGGATGACCGCGAGATCCTGGAGGGCCTGTCCAAATATGGCCCAGCCTGGACAAGGATCCTGAGGGACTCTAGCTTCCATCTCTTACCTAGACGGCCCACAGATCTAAGGGACCGCGTCCGGAACAGATACCCAGAGATCTACCAGCGGATTGAGAAGGGCATCTACCAGACCAAAGAGTCAGGAAAGAGCAACGACATCATGGAGCCGTCGATAACCATGTGCATCGATAACTCCCTCAAGCCACCAAACCAATCATCCAGACGGACTGGCGACTCCAAGGAGGATTTATCCAGCAACAGCAACGGGCCTGTTATGCAGCAGCAGCAGCAGCAGCAGCCTTCAGAGCTGGTTGGTTGCAGCAGTCAGCCAAAGTCACAAGGATTCGAGTTCATGGATTCGAGTGCTGGTCAATACCTGAGTGGTGAGATGGACATCTCCAGACTTCTCCTGGACGACTCAAGGTGATCCTCCTGGTCTACGAGAAGCCAAACCTTGATTCGTTCTGTTTTCTTTTACATTCAGATATACTGACCAGCGAATTTGGAATTTCTTACATGTCTCTGAAATGTGTGATGGATTGTACTATCGTATTGGTCTTGTGTGCCTAACTTGGCGGGCAACAACAGTACGGAGTTTGGGCGCTTGGAAATCAATCAAGAAGAAAGGCAACGGAATTGTACAAAATATGAAGTGATGGGGTATCATCCCCGCCAGTATGTCTCTTAACATGAAAATGTATTCAATGTCAATTTTGAATCGACTATGGAGTATATGGAACTGTAATGGCATCCAGAAGTTTACTTAAGACGTTATCATGACTCTCGTTATCTGGCGACATCACCGCATTTTACCACGTCATGTTTACATTGACGGCAGGAAATTTTGGAAAGGCGATGAAATGACCATTCCATACACAGTTTACTTCAACATTGACCCTTTTTCTTCATCTCCAATTCTCTGGATACGGAGTAGCAAGGAAGATAACACGGGGCCAGCATCCAGTAGCGGGGCCGGAGAGGGCAGCACGTGACTGGGCACGTGCACTGCTATTGGTATTCTGGTTGTGGTCGAGGTAGGGCACAGAAACCCCCACCACCGCGAAGGAAAAAAAAAAAAGGTGGATTGGCATTTTGCACGTCGTCTTCTCGAACCCTCCAGTCCACCGGTCAATCTCCTCAACCACCAGCCGACAAGAACAGCCCAGTCGACAAAATGGCCCGCGGAATGTGAGTAAAGACTCCCAGATGGAAGCATTCAAGAACTCCGATGCGGCTTGAATTGTTTTTTCATCTCAGTCACCGAGAAGAAGAAGAATAATGCAACGCCAATGTCCTCATCACACCGTCGCATTATCCAGACGGATAATACGAAAAGAAAAAAAAACATGAACATGATTTACTGACCTCCTTCACAGCAAGAAGCACCAGAAGCGCCTTAGCGCCCCCTCGCACTGGCTCCTGGACAAGCTGTCCGGTGTCTACGCTCCCAAGCCCTCGGCCGGTCCCCACAAGCTCCGCGACTGCATGCCTCTGATCGTCTTCATCCGCAACCGCCTCAAGTATGCTCTCAACTACCGCGAGACCAAGGCCATCCTTGCCCAGCGCCTGATCAAGGTTGACGGCAAGGTCCGCACCGACCTGACCTACCCCACCGGCTACATGGACGTCATCACCATCGAGAAGACGGGCGAGAACTTCCGCCTCGTCTATGACACCAAGGGTCGCTTTACCGTGCACCGCATCCAGTCCGAGGAGGCTGAGTACAAGCTTGGCAAGGTCAAGCGTGTGCAGATGGGCCGCGGCGGAATCCCATTCTTGGTCACGCACGATGCTAGGACGTGAGTTCTGTCAGACATCATTCAGCCGTTGGATCAAGCTTTGGTCGATTCGAGTCCATGTTGGAGGGGGAGAATCCGAAAGATTGAGGGCAGAAAAGAAGAGCGTCATACACTTCTTTATTCTCGTCCTTACTCTTCCTCTTCTCTCTCTCCTTGCACAAAACACGAAACGAGAGGAAGCTTTACTCCATACGGCTGTAATGTTCCCACCCCAACCCTACTTATCTTACTGACCTCCTGCTCCAGTATCCGCTACCCCGACCCTCTGATCAAGGTTAACGACACCGTCAAGATCGACATTGCTACTGGTAAGATCACCGACTTCATCAAGTTCGACACTGGCGCCATTGCCATGGCCACCGGTGGCCGTAACATGGGCCGCGTTGGTGTCATCACCCACCGTGAGCGCCACGACGGTGGCTTCGCCATCGTCCACATCAAGGACGCCATGGACAACAGCTTCGCCACCCGCGAGAGCAACGTCTTCGTGATTGGCCAGGAGAAGCCCTGGATCTCCCTGCCCAAGGGCAAGGGTGTCAAGCTCTCTATTGCCGAGGAGCGTGACCGCCGCCGTGCCTACAACAACTAAGAAATGTATTCATCTATCTATTTTTTCTTAGCAGTGTAGGAAGGGCAACACCAAATCCTGGGTGGAATGGGAATAAAAAAAATTAACGGGCATCTGAGGACACCCTGGAGTCTCGGATTCTTTTTTTCTTCGATGTTTGCGTCCTTTGCAGCTTTTGACGAAACCCAGGGAAAAAAAAGTAAAGATAGGCAAAAAGGTTCTCCCACAAAAAGGGAGGCCCATCACGATATTTCAAAGAAACTATTAAAAAACAAAACAAAAAAAAATCAAAAGAAGCAAATGACGCATGAGCCAAGGGTCGAATCTGTCCTGTTCTCCGTGGGCTTCTGTGCTTAGAAGCCAAAGTGTTCCATCAGCCGATGTGTACGTGGGGCTGTGACTGTATGTCTTTGTCTGCCGTGATTTGTGCCGTTACCACCAGCCTTGAGTTGCTGGCACACCCCCACACAACAGCCCCTGCCTTCTGGGAGTTTTTCAAGACCGATTGTAACGGGGGAACTACTCGTACGCCTTCACATAACCTCAGGATTTATCCCAACTCGAGGTTTGAATAGTGAGTGTAGACAAGATCTCTGTACTGTACGAGTAGACCATCCCCACGTTCGTCACATAATTGCCATATCCAGTCAATCAAGTCCCCCCCCCCCCAATCCTGTTGCTAATTGCATGTATTAAATTGAAGACATGCCGAAAGCCCCGAAACGTCGGTGACTGACACGGTGACACCCAACTGGGGTTTGGGGACCGTCGAAAACACACACACACACACACACACACCCTAGACTTATACTAACGGTGTACAGATTACTCTCGGCGGATTAAAGTACCGAGGATATCAAGTCGTCGGCTTCGATGATCTGAACAAACGACTTGGGAACGACGAACCGTCATCTACACACAAGAGGACACTCGTTTCCCTGATATGGCCTCGCCCTTGATCCATCAACCGTAGTGACTGAATTCTACTGCTGCTGGAAACATACGAACCCATCACCCACGCTCTCGGTGGTTGTTACTAGTCGAACTTCATGCCTAGTAAGGATTGCCAATTGGGGGGAAAGAGGGGCGGCGGGGCGGGTATGAGGGATGAGGGGCGATGGCGGGGAATTTTGATGTCGTTGCTCCCCCAGGCCTTTCCCGAGACCCTTTTCCCGTTGAGGAACCCTGATACCTGAACTTGCCCACCAGGACATCACTCGCTGGGCCTATAACCCGAAGACGAGACATTGTGTTTTCCGAACCCCAATCCTACGCTTTAAGCTGCAAGTACAAGCGCAGGAGTGGAGTGCTCTCGCCATCCCCCGTACCCAGCTCGTGACTCTACGATATCACCGTACCCACTGGGACTTTGAATGGATACGGGGATTGAGTGTCAGAATTTCCTTCTTCTCCTCCCCTCTTCCTCTATCAAGTATTCTCCTCATTGACTTGTTTGGCATCTCCGTATTTCGCTGTCGTTACCAGGACTGCTTGCTGCTTGAGTTGGCAATGCTGCATCCAGACAACATTGTACCTCCCAGACGATAGCTATCTCCTACTTTTCGGGTACTACTGAAGAGACCTGGCAATTGCCTCTTTGTTTGCCTCCTCTATCCTCACCTAATAGCCTGGTCGCTTTGAGAAGAACCGGTGAGATGTCAGCTCGGAGTGGCATCGGGGCATTGCTCCGCCGGCGCGGATGGTGTAACGGGGCTCGCCGATCTCTCACCACCAGCGCCCCCCGGCGCACTGGTCACGGTGGCCAGAGCAATCCTCCCAAAAGTGCAAATCAGTGGTCCGGCGGTGGTGTCTTGGCCGTTAGCGCCGTTGCGACAGCCTTGGGCTACGGCATTGCGATGTCACGCATAGGCGCAAGCGACACGGCGCTTCTTAAAAAGGATAACGAGCAACGGTATGCGACAGTTAAGGAGATGGAAACAGTAAGCTACTCGCAACCTCTAGATCTCACCACGGCCTTCGCGTGACTAACCACCTTGGATGGTCTGATGTAGGCCTTGGACCTGATCATCGCAGAACTCGGGAACAGTGATCTCATCTCGACGGACCCCGAGGACCTGCACGCACACGGATACTCGGAGTGGTCGACAGTCAACCCCGACACTCTTCCGGTTGCAGTGGCGTATCCGAGAACGACGGAGCAGGTATCGGCGATTGCCCGTATATGCCACCAGTACCGTATCCCCATCATACCATTTTCGGGTGGTTCCAGTCTCGAAGGCAACTTCTCAGCGCCCTATGGAGGTGTCAGCATCGACTTCGCTTTCATGGACCAAATCCTCCAGCTCAATAAGGAGGACATGGATATCGTAGTGCAGCCAAGCATCGGTTGGCAGGATCTGAACGAGAAACTTGCACAGATGGACAGCGGCCTGTTCTTCCCCGTTGACCCTGGTGAGTCGGACACGCGGGCCTCTTCTGTCATGGGGGGGAACACGAGTGACTAATCCCACGGTTGTCGAACTTGCAGGGCCAAGTGCTAAGATTGGTGGTATGATCGGCACCAACTGCTCCGGCACCAATGCTGTCAGGTACGGAACCATGAAAGACTGGGTCATCAACTTGACCGTGGTGTTGGCCGATGGTCGGATAATCAAGACTCGTCGTAGGCCTCGCAAGTCATCAGCTGGATACAACCTCAACAGTCTATTCGTCGGGTCTGAAGGGACCCTGGGAATCGTCACTGAAGGTTCGTGATATTTCTCCCCTGCTTGCTTCTAACATCGCTTTCCCACCCCCGACAGCTGCACAGAGGGCACCATGCACTGACTTGCAGGGAATAGCGACACTCAAGCTGGCCATCGTCCCTGAGGAATACTCTGTCGCCATAGTCACCTTCCCGACAATCCGACATGCGGCGGCAGCGGCCGCTGGGGTGATGCAGGCTGGTATTCAAGTGGCAGCGTTGGAGATCATGGATGAAGTGCAGATGAAGGTGGTTAACCTGGGAGGGGCCACTGCGCCCCGCGTGTGGAAAGAGCTACCCACTCTCTTCTTCAAATTCTCAGGCACCAAGGCTGCCGTGAAGGAGCACATCGAACGGGTGCAAGCCATCACGGCGGCCAACGGGGGAGGCAACTTTGAATTCGCCAAGGATGCTCGAGAGCAGAAACTCCTGTGGTCAGCAAGGAAGGAGTCGCTATGGTCCATGCTATCTCTCAGAAAGGGCGATGAGAGCGTTTGTGAGTGGATTGCACCTCAACACCTCCCCCCCTCCCTCTACAAATATATGTATGACTGATATTAACCCCTCTTCCTTTACTCAGGGAGCACCGATGTCGCCGTCCCATTTAGTCGTTTAGCTGATATTATCGAAGTGAGCAAGAAGGAGATGGACGACCTGGGCCTCTTTGCCAGCATACTCGGTCACATTGGCGACGGCAACTTCCATGAGAGCATCATGTACAACAGCCGCGACCCGGTCGAACGTGAAAAGGTCGAGACTTGTGTCAAGAATATGGTCAAGCGTGCCCTCAACATGGAGGGAACGTGTACAGGGGAGCACTCGATAGGCTGGGGCAAGAAGGAGGGTCTGTTCTGGGAGGTCGGCCCCGAGACCATCAATGTCATGAGGGCCATCAAGCAGTCCCTCGACTCCCGATGGATCTTGAACCCCGGAAAGATCATGAATGTCCCCTGGATGGACGAGCCATATCCCACAGATGATTCTGTGATGCCCATTCTTGCCAACACCATTGGCAAGAAGCCCAAAGACTGGGCTATTGGCCTCGGTGGAGTGGGTATGCCTACGACCAAATCTCAGTGATGGTGATGCTGGGGCAACATCGCCCAAAAGGGAAGGAACAATAAGTAGTAAGAGCAAAGATTCGGGCGGTTTGCCTTTCTTTTTCCCTTTCTTTTTCAACCCTCGCAGCACTCTCCACTACTCCTCGCATCTAACAAAGGGATAGATCTTGCGAAGGAGTCAGCTACAGAAATATATATGTTAGGGTCTTGCATTCAGACTCATATCATACTCCTCCCGTTCTCTGCACACCCATGCCCACGCCAAGGAATATATGAGAAGGTGATAGAAAACGGCAGCGAAAATCAACATCTCCAAGCCCTCGCACGCATCCATTTCACGCTTCACAATAACTTAGTCAATGTATTGAGGCGAGATTCTTCTGATATTTATTCTATAACATTACTATGCGCTCCCTCCAGCCCAGCCTGTTCCTCGTCCCACCGCGGCACCATTCCCAGAGGAACCACGACCTATTCACTGCCTGATACATCAACAAACAGTTCCCTTTCTTTGTTTGGAACTCCAAATCATCGGTTGCGTGCATGTAGAATAGCCGGCACAGCCATTATTCACCGCACTGACGGTTGCTCACATGGTACATAACTTTTACTATCTCATGTGTTCCCTAGAATCCCCACAGCTCTTTCCTCTATTGTGCCCTCCAAAAAGGAAAAAAACAACGCTCCACGTAAGCTCCTGCCTCGCTCTATTCTTCCTAGACCTTGGTTCTAGCACTCACCTTCTGTTTTCTTGTTTCATTCTGCACATGGGCTTATGCCTCGACCTAAACAGAATCCCAGAGCCCGCCGCACGCGAGGCAAATCGTACCAGCAAGGCACCATGCATCCTGCTGGCCTGATCCCGTTCCTGCCTCCAAAATCTGGTCGGTCCTATTCTCTTGATGTTGATGTTTATCCAAGAAGCATCGGGTTTGGGGTCAACATTGGGGAGCAAAGTATCAAGATAATGAAGACGGCCCTTCCGATTGGCAATCGCGAACTCAAGTTGGTGCTTGACGCAAGGTCCAAGAATCTAAGTGCCTACTTCCCGCTCCCGGCCAGGTCGGAATCCTGGTCGGGGACGAGAGAGTTCAAGTTCACCATCGATGTGAAGCAGATGAAGACTGTCCGCTACATCGACGACCCCGACCATCTCCGTTGTGCTCTTGTCATCTCGTTGGACTTCCCGCCCCAGTACTTTCTAAAAGGAAAATATGCATACGAGACTGAAGATCTCTCTCAGTTCGGAGATACAAGGCCACGATGGCTCAAAGACAGGGACTTTTGGAGCCGCACCACCGACGTTGCCGAAGACATAAACGTTCCTCTTGCATATCCTATATCTCTGCATAACGACATGAAAGACCCTGAGCATATAGATATCGGCCGCTGGACGACATTCCACTTTGTCCTCGACAAGAATAGCGGGCCACGAGAGAGCGCCATTGCTCGGCTCTGTTCCGCTCTCGAGGAGCTCAACATTCGATTCGTACGCACACCCGATATCGAGATTCTTCCCCGAAGTGATGCTATTGTGTGGCAACGTCTGAATCACTATATGTCCATCGAACACAGAGGTGCTTTTGCCCTTTTGGAACATTCTTCCACGTCTATTCACCTTGAATTTCCCGTTCGCTACCAGCTTGAAGTTTGCATATCAAAGGGAATCATCAATGAGCACGAGATAACCGAGGCCTTTCTTGCAAAACTGTCTGAAGAAAAGCCCATCAAGGCTCGTCTGCGGCTAGAATTTGCCGCAGATCAAGGGAAAAGGCTCAAGGATCCAATGGAAGCCTTCACAAATCCGAATGCATTGGAGTACGCTCCAAACGTTGGCCTTCCACACTACTGCACTCTAGTCCGCAAGGCGAATGTCACACCGACTACAGTTAGATTCAGCACACCTGTTGCTGAGACTTCCAACAGAGTTCTCCGAAAATATGACAGACTGCAAGACAGGTTTCTACGCGTGCAGTTTCTGGAGGAGTCGGAGAAGGGCAAGATCGGTATGTCACGGGGCAATAACGAAGCTATATACACCCGGCTTTTAAGGACTTTGTACCAAGGGATCCGGATAGGCGATCGAACATATGAATTCCTAGCATTTGGGAGCTCCCAGCTCAAGGAATGCGGTGTCTACTTCTTCTGTCCCACCCAGAACACCTCGTGCGATGATATTCGGCAGTGGATGGGCGAGTTCAACCACATCAAGATAATAGCAAAATACACAGCCAGGGTGGGGCAGTGCTTCTCGACGACAAGAGAGATCAAGGGAATCCGCTCGCCCACGGTTTGTAAGATTCCCGACATTGAGAGAAACGGCTATTGCTTCACAGATGGCGTCGGAATCATCTCTAGCTTCCTCGCGCGAATCATCATGGAAGACATGAGGATAAATGTCCCCGTTGAACCATCGGCCTTTCAGTTCCGAATGGGTGGCTGCAAGGGAGTCTTGGCTGTGTGGCCACGGGCAAAGGGTATGGAGGTGCACATACGGAAGTCGCAGGAGAAGTTCAAAACAGACTTCAACAGCCTTGAAATCATCCGACATTCCAAGTTTTCATCGGCGTCGTTGAACCGTCAAACCATCGTATTGCTTGAAGCACTGGGTGTTCCGTCAAGCGTTTTTGAAACACTGCTAGACCAACAATTGCGGCAGTTTGAGGCGGCAATGGACGACACATCTATGGCTCTGCGGATGCTGGCCCAATTTGTCGATGAGAACCAGGTCACACTCATTATTTCCAAGCTCCTCAGGGCCGGTTTCGTCAGCAATTCGATCAAGGAGCCCTTTGTCGTGAGCGTCCTCCACCTGTGGCGTTCTTGGTCGCTGAAGCTTCTCAAGGAGAAGGCAAGGATTCAGGTTGGCCAGAGTGCATTCGTTCTCGGGTGCGTTGACGAGACAGGATCATTGAGAGGACACTCGTTCGAAACGGAAAGCCTGAAGAGACCCGAAGTCGACAACCTTCCCCAGATATTTCTCCAAATCACAGACCCGACGAGCCCCCGGAAGACCATTATCATAGAGGGGATCTGCGCTGTGGGGAGGAATCCGTCGCTGCACCCGGGTGATATCAGGGTGGTCAATGCAGTCAACGAGCCAAAGTTGCATCACCTGAGAGACGTCGTCGTTTTCCCGAAAACGGGTGACAGGCCTGTCCCAAATATGCTCTCCGGCGGCGACCTCGACGGCGACGACTATTTCGTCATCTGGGACCAGAGACTCATACCTAAAGAATGGAACTTCAAACCCATGAACTATACGGGAATCATTCCAGAGGAGCTCAACCGCGACGTCAACGTAAATGACATGCGAGAATTCTTTGTGTCCTATGTCAAGAATGACGTCTTGGGTCTCGTGGCCACGGCACATCTGGGTCTCGCTGACAAGGAGGGGCCCAAATCACCCAAGTGTAGGAACACCATCGATTCAGTACCACCGATACCTGCATCCTTAAGACAGAGTTCTAATCAAGCTGACGATGAAAAAAGGCCTCCTTCTTGCAGAGCTGCATTCCCAAGCGGTTGACTTCCCCAAGACAGGCCATCCCGCCGAATGGAACGAGAGCCTACAACCCAGGGCGTGGCCGCATTTTATGGAGAAGACGAGGTCGTACCGATCTGGCAAGGCCTTGGGTCGGATATTCGACAAGGTCTCTGAGCAGCCAGTCGAGTTCCGCCCAGAATGGGAGCACGGCTTTGACAAGAGGATCCTCAACCACTTCGGGCGCGATCCGGCCTTGCTCGTGGCGGCCAGGGTGACCAAGGTGCAGTACGATACGTCAGTGCGGCGCATCCTAGCCCAGCACGGCGTAGCGACCGAGTTTGAGCTATGGACCGGCTTCGCCATGTCCAAGCCGACGGTTGGGACCGATTACAAGAGACAGGAACAGCTGGGAAGGGAGTACGATTCGCTCAGACAGCGATTCCGCGAAATTTGCTACCAGGAAGCCGGGGGCCGCGACGCAGAGAGTGTCGACCGGTTCGTCGTGGCCATGTATCAAGTCACGGAGGAACAGGTCAAGGCGGCCTTGGCCGAGCAGAATCAGGTGGAGCACGCACCCGACGAGGATACCCCGGCTGCCGCCCTTCAGGCACTTGATGCCTCTAGCATGCCCCTCATCAGCTTCCCGTGGATTTTTCATTCTGCGCTGATCCGCATAGCGCATGCAAGTGGCCTCGAAGCCGACAAGTGACGACACAGAAACGATACGGAGAGGGAAACCGAGGGGAAAAGTATTATGGGGAGGGAAGTGGGAGTAGATGAAAGGAAACTACTAGCTGGAAAAGTCTTAGATGCGCATAGGCGGTGCGATGGGTAAAGACAGCGGCAATAGCCAAGACATAGGCAAGAAAATTGCTAAACACAAGGCTGGACATCACTTCATGAGTAGTGTACGATATGCGAGGGTCATAGTCTTGTGGCTGAGTGCGTTGAAGAGCAAAGAGGGGCCAGGCTGCTTGTTAGCCCCTCGACCCCTTTCTATTGTAGAGTTAAAGTGTTGTGATGCGTGCGTGCTGAAGATCATGTCGTTCTTTTGGTTTGTTTACTTTCGGATACACAGGTCAGTCCGGAGAACCCACTTCTCGCCGTCGACGACCTGGCGGCCTTCATGCTGCAATAGACAATTCGGGGACATTAGCAAGTTGAAGGAAGGAATTATTTGACGGATTTGTTCATACAGGCTGTGTATGTATGTGGACGTGCCAAGTGTGGGAGCTGGTTTGCTTGTTTGCCTGCGCTCGGGGAAGCCGACCGTGCAGGCCGGGACGAAGATCGGGAAACAGGAGAAGTGACAATGTCATGATTTTACGAAATAAAAGAGGGGATACGAGACACAGGAGACGAAAGGAAAGGTAGACTAACCAGCAGACAATCGTTGCCATGCTTGTGCAGCAGGAGCATACCCGTTTCGAGGGCTACTACGATTTCCTCGGCAGCTGACCTACGGTCGTTTGGGTAGAAAACAGTCTCACCGCCGATGCAGCCTTCAGATGCGGAAGTCAGGTAGAGGAGCAGAGTCCAGGTGGTACGTACGGGTACAGGGGGTGAGGACGGGAGGATGAAGGAGTTAGAGTCGTCATCTGTCGTGTAAATTCTCGAGGGTTAGTCGACTGTTTTGACATGTCCAGCTCCGCCAAAAACAGATTTTGGGTGGCATGAAAAGAATGAGTAAGAAAGTAGGAAAGGAAAAGGGTGCTGTTTTTCCTTGGCGTAGGTGCAAGCGAACCAAGGAAGGAGGGGGGGGGTCATGAAAAAGATTGAAGAAGCATTCTCTTCTGAGTTTCCATCTTCCTACTTACAGTGACAGTCAAAGTATTGACCCTTGGAGTAGCGGTACACTCGTATATTTGGATTGAGACCAACAGGCTCGCCACCCCTGGAACGTTTGCCACGAAAAAAAAAAGACAAGCTGCATTAGCCTCGTGTAACTAGAAATCCTCGGGAGGGGCTAATGTCGCTTCAAAGGCCGGGAAAGGGGGGAGAGCGCTGCCTGTCGGCTTGCTAATCTCCGTCACAATGCACCCTGGCAAACAAACATTCCCAGTTGATGGATGTGCAAATCAGCAATATGTCACTCACCAGAGATCTTGAAGATGCGGGTTGTCATTGAGGATGGCCTCCTTGAGACCCGTCTGCTCCCATAAACGGCTGGCAAAGAGCGGGTCTTGGATCTGATAACGATCGTTGACACGCACGGCCTCACCACGTTTGGGACGAGATGGAGTTGTCTGCATAGGTAGAGTCCGGAGGAAGGCAACGTAATCTCGGCACAGCGACTTAGGGAAGAAGAAAGGTATGAGGGCGATCATAGGCGTGGCCTCGTGCAGCTCGGGGGCCAGATGAACAACGGGCAAATGGGGCTTAAAGGGTGGCCATGAGGGCGGCACGGGAGTAGATGCGACTGGCTGAGACGGAGATGCTGCTGTCTTTGATTTAGTTTTGTTTGGTTTCGGCATGATTGCCCCTTTGCTGCTGCTGCTGCTGCTGCTGTTGTTGTGCAGCGTGCAGCGTTCGGGTCGTCGGGTGTTGCCGGTGGTGATGGGATAGAGAAGAAAGATATGAGATGGACCTGGGGACCACTTTCAACGAATAGTGGTATTCGACGTTGGAAGAAAAGAAAAGATGATGTGCTGAGGCCCAGGAAGATAATATCTAGACTTCTTGATGATCTGAGCTGAGGTAAATACGTGTGACTGGTTGCTGTAGGTGTGACCGTATGGATCGTAGTTGGGGAGGCCTACCTTGACTAGCAGAATGCTAGATGGGGGCCCGAGTGCTGCAGGATGTCAACGGAACTGGATTCATTAGGCTAACCAGAGAAGAAGAACGGTATTTGCAGGTGACGTAGTGTTGATGGAGAGGCTAAGGGTAGTGAGAGGACAAGAGGTGCCGCTCCGCTCAGCAGTTGAGGGCTCATAGCCCGGAGTTGGCTGCTGCAGGTTTTATCTGAACGTGCGTGTAGCCGTATGCAAATAGGCCGAGCCGTGTCTCGAGTACAGGGATATTACCGACTTGAGGAGGGGAGAATCGTGTCCGAAAGGTCGATCAGCGGCTTCTGTTCACAGCTGATTGACCCGTTTATCCTTTACGAGGTCAGAGATTCCCCATTTGCTGTACGACGAGAGAAATGAGTATTGCGAGTATCACTATAGTATGGCAGCAGTACGCTTGCATTGCGTTAGTGCTTTCTACCTCTTACGTTGATCGCTCCTTCCAGACACTTGTTAATAGCTCCTTCCCCTCCGTCGGAAGCTTCGATTGCAGCGGTTGCCTGAGTCAGCCTCTCAGGTGGGTGGTTAGATCTTTGAACTGCACGGCCTGAAAACGAGTAATACGGTACGATGTCTTTATTGTGTCTACCTTGTATCCAATTCTCATCGGGATCGTGAGGGCTTTTATCATTGTTATTGCCGTGTATTTCGGTATAAAAAATAAAAACGAAAAAGACGTGGAAACCGTAGAAATGTTATGATACTTGTTAGAGCCAATGTTCACAACTTGCATAAGGTGAAGGTGAGTGGTCGACGGTCGTACCTACCAAAATAAAGGGTCCCACCTGCTAATTGCATTCAGCGAGTTTTCCCCTTCGCCTTCGCGTCTTCCTCTCCATCAAGCTCTCGCGGGCCAACAGCATCACCATCGTTACCGACGCTATCATCCCCCCCCCCCCCTTCTTCAATCTAGCCAGCTGTCATGGCTCCAGATACCACGCCCTTGCCCCTGGCATCGGGCCAAACTACGACCACACAGCCGCCATCTCAGTCGCCGTTCTCTCGCCAGATACGGCAAGTAGGTCTCTACCTCGCTGGCGCAGGCTTCCTTGCGGCCTCGGTAGCTGTATCCCGCCGGTCCGTCATACGCATGAGGGCCGCCACAATACCACCATTCTACGTGTCAAATCGAGCCCCCATAAACGCAGACGACAAGGGCATCATTGCTGCGCGCGCCCTCGGCCTGGCTACGCTCAATGTCATGAGCTTCGGTGTCATGCTCCTCGGCGGCATCGGGTGGGCATTCGACCTGACTTCCATGTCGGAATTGAGAGAGAGGACGCAGGCTCAGCTCACTAAACCCACCAACCTCAGCCGCGAGGACGAGGATGAGGTCGAGGAGGAAATGAACAAGATGATCGACTCACTCTACGAAAAGCTAGGCATGACCAAGCCTCCGACTACAGAGCTGGAGCAGATTCAACAGCAGCAGCAAAAACAGCAAGACGAACCAACAAAGGGCCGGCCGGTAGACAGAAATGAATCATAAAGGAACCAGTCCAGCGAACCATTCCATTCCTACATGCATAACAATACCCAATAATACCCATCTCCGATCACTCCCATGCAAGCATATATATATGGAACCATTCAGGAGCAGAACACAAAACCCCAACGTTATGACAGCGTCAATATTTCAAATAAGAAGAACCCGCCAACCACGTACATTGTCTTCCTTGTTTACCCTTGAGGAGAGAGCTCCTTGCGTTCCTCTTTCCGCCTTCCCATGATTGCGCAATCGGCAGCATGGCGTTGAATAATCACATAGCGCTGCTGCTGTCAGCTTCTCGTCAGCACCCCACATAAGTTCGCAGAGCATTCGAGCATGTCATGTACCTCAAGCCTGCCGTATCTACACGGAGCGTCATCCTACAAACAACGAGCTGGCGTCAGATGGCGTGAAGGGTGCGTTGAGCCCAGAGCATGGTAAAAATGGGCGGCCGGCTCCTTTTGTTTCTTTTTCCTCGTCTTATACACCCACCCCACCCCACCGCCACCACCCTTACTCCCTGCCTTTAACCGCTCCTCTCTCGTCCTCGACCGGCACACTGTCAGTTCAGCCGGGAAAACTCTTCGTCCCCGGGAACGCCCGCTGTCCCTTGTCGTTAACGATGCAACGTGGCCGTGTTGGTGGTGTTTGGTAGAAGAAACTGCCATCGACTACGAGTATGGGGCGCTCGCGGACGTTCGCCGCAGTCGATTACTGTAGTCATGAGCACGTCCCAGCCTAGGGCCTGCCAGTACACCGTCTTCCTTCTGCGACGCCGCTTCCTCGAGTCACGGTCTCTCAACGCCCAATAGCTGAACGTGAGGCTTACCGAGGTCACTCGTCACTCCTCCCTCTCCAAGTCAAGAAAAGAAAACAGGCCGGGAGGCACAGACAGACAGCAGATCAACGAGGGCACATAACCAATCCGTGCATGGAATGTCTATCACAACGTAGGTAATACAGCAATAGCTTCTCGGAGCGGAGCCATAAGTTGACAAGGGCTGTTGGCCACCAATGCAAGCGTGTCTGTTTGTCCTCACCTAGCAGTCCGTGCCATAGTTGCACGCTTTGTCTCGGGGATTGACCACTGACAGTGCAAGAGCCACCCTAACGTCATGCCTTCCATGACTGGTGCAGCGATACGCGTCAGGGTCGATGCTGAAGTTGAAGACGCTCCGTGAAGTAGGCATGTGCTCTCCACACCCTCTCTCGGTCTGTATTCCTTCTTGGATCTATGGTCCGGGGAGTGGGATATTGTATACGGTACATAAAGCAGGCCATCTAATACCCATACCATCATCCCATGCTTGTTTATTTTATCTTTCCTCCGCCCCCTCAGGCTCCCTAACCACCCCTGCCCTCGGCATATACGGGAAGCAGAAAGACAGGAGGGCATGGAGCAATGACGAAGAAATGGCCGAAGTCCAATACAATTTCCAGAGCGCTGTTTGGCACTACACGTACCGACATGGGCCAGAAGCCGGCGTCGTCTTCCTCGAGTCCCCCCAGCGCTTCTGGAGTAACCAGCGCGGCTCCATCGTCCTGCGGCAAGTCAACTCTACGAGCGCCAACAAGGCATGGGTCAATCGAGACCCTTCACTCGTGAAAAGGTGCCGAAGCGACCTCGATCAGAGCAGTGGCGACGGTAGAGTCGACTTTCCCACCCTCTCTGACGCACACGGCCTCCTCATAAAGAACGGCTGGGCTACCCCAGCCACAGAGTGCAAGTCGGGAGCCTCACCAACAAGGCATAACAACAATGACGATGGCCACGGTGGTGGTGGTGGTGGTGGTGGTGCTGACCGACCTCTCGTCCCGTACCGTCGCGGTGAGCGCATCTGGGTAGAGCACAGCCTCCAACCGTCTGATGCGGAGGGCGACGATGGCTCCATCCCCGTTATCAGCATCGATACCCTCCGTCATTTCCGGGTACCGTCACGGTACATCTGCTTCGTGCCGCAGCTTGTCCGGCCAAGCTTCGAGACGCTCCCACTTCCCCGAGGCATCTCGCCGTCGGTATTCGCCACGCCTGTCGGTCCAGCACATGACATGAGCGTCCGCGGGTGCCGGTATAAGATGCAGGCGTACTTTGAGTGGCCATCGAATCAGCCTGCTAGAGCGACTTGCAAGTGGGAGACTTGGCCGTCGTTGCCGTCATCATCGTCAGCAACGGCAGAGGGGGTGGTGGTGCCGAGGTTGCCGACAAGGTTTCATCCCCTGGCGGACGTCGAGGAGAGGAGGAGGCTGTTTCGGCATCACTGGGCTATCCTGAGTGGGCAGTTTAGTGTCGCGCTGGATGATGACGCTGAGTCTATTGACGAGATTGACCTCGTCGAAAGGGGTATTCGACATGTTGATATTGCTGTTGCGCTTTAATATCGCAATATGTCAAAAAAAAAAAAAAAACACTAGCTGGAATTATATGTTATAGAGGAAGGATCAAGATACCAAGTTATATTGATAATGACAATGTGAAATTGACGAGGGTGAATATCTTATATGCCTTTGAGGTTTTATGTTTTTCTTTTACGGACAGTCAGGTCGGAGCAAGAAGGGTAGAAAGAAGAGCTGGAAGATCACCACAGAGGGATGGAAAAAAGTATGGATTTCTCTCTCTTCTTCATTCAACTTTGGCGAACCGCCATTGTTTCCTTGCCTTCTGAAATCTGACCACCTGCCGTCTCGTAGCTCTGCCGTGGATCATATCGTCAGCCATCTGCGGCAGATCTTCGAGCGTCCTAAACTCGACATCAGGCTGTATGCCATGCTTGGCGGGGAACTCGACAGCCTTGTGCATCCTCTGCGGCGTACTGCTGCTCTCTCCTCTGATTCCGTACCTCCCGGTGGCCAGGCTATAGGTCGACACCTGCAAGTCACGGGGTGCCATGCCGATGACCATGCGCACGCCTCCGGTCCTCAGGATATGCGGGGCGGCATGGACGCCACGGCTACTCCCCGTCACACTTCTCAGCTGATGGACGAGATCTGCAGTCGTGGCCGAGTTGACGGTGATGTCGGCGCTTAGACCCCTGACCGAGGCGAGGGCATCATCGTTGATATCGATGCCCATAACCTTGATGCCCATGGCCTTAGCGTACGTACTGCGTCGCATACTGTCCCAGGCCGCCGCAGCCGATGACGGCAAGCCATTGTCTCGGATTCAGTTCACAACCATCTACTGCGTGGAAAGCTGTTTATTCTATTGCATCTTCGTTTCGGGGAGATTTTTTCTCTGTCAGCAGGAGCAAGGTTGAATACAGATGGGGATGGTACCGTACCAGTTATTCCTGCGCAGAAGAGGGGAGCGCTACGATTCATGTCCAGCCCCTGCTAGAGGATGATGGCGTTCCGGTGGTCGACGACACAGTACTCTTGAAGTAGCCGTCGACGCTGAAGCCCTGGACGGCCGTCTGACCCCGGGAGCAGTACAGATTGTGCACTCGGCACCCGTCGCACTCGAAGCAACAGCCCACGGAGTACTCCCAGTCGATGGCGTCGCCGACCTCAAAGCCCTTGCCTGCCACCGAAGGGTGCATCCGGGTGACGTGGCCGACGGCTTCGTGGCCCATAGTCGTGATCCCAGTCTCAGGACGGAGGTCGTGGTTCAGGTCTGAGTGGCATAGCGACGCGGCGTAGGTCTTGACGAGGAATTGGTCCTGGCCTGGCCCCGGGATTGGGATGTCGTTTATGACGACTTTATTCAGTCTCTGGAGAGAAGGAAGGATTGTCAGTGGTTTGTGAGGGAGTTTGCCGGTTTCCCCCTCCCCCCCTCCCCCAAAAGGGCTAACCTCTGACCAACCCCCCCCCCCCCAAAAAAAAAAAAACACTCACACCGTCCCGCTGGCCTGCTTTCATCTTAATTCGAGCAGTACTGTATTATATTCTCGAAAGCTGCGCTTTCTTCTTTCCTACGAAAAGGTTGAAACCTCTCGTCAATATAGGTACGCTTATCACTTTTTTACTGCGGTTCCTCCTGAAGTCGTTCCCCTCTCTGAATCAGCATCTCGGTCCTAGGCGGCAAAACACCTCGGGCAGTAGGGAACTGTTATCCCAAACAGTGATCCTGTGGCCACGTGGGCTTGAGGTTGGATGGTATCAGTGCTTCTCCGACACTGCGCTTCTTCTCCGGGGCAGGGGAATAAAATCATGTCAGGTTTGGCCCAGTGGGATCGAAGAATGGTATCCTGGATATACAAATCCGGGGAAGCGGGGAGTCTGCCAAGATAGACGGGTCGAGTTTTTTTTTTTTGTAAGTGCCCGACGTAATAAGGCATTCACTGGCTCTTTAAATACGAAAAAGGCATAAGAGCTACTGGGCAAAGCCCAGGGAAGAACATATGAAGAGATTTTCATGGACGAGGGAGTGTTTTAGGCAGATGGTGATAGAATTCCTGTCTACCTGTTCCTTCCTCGTGACGGTGCACCCAGCGCTCCTTCCTTCCTCTCCCACGCAGGAGGCCGAATCAGGTTTCACCTCCCCGATCGTGCCAGAATGTCCCTAACATTGAACAATGAAGCCGTATATTTCCACTATACTGCTATCCAATGAACTCCCCTTTCTGAAGCCCTTCATGTTACCTATGCGAACATTGTCATTGGCCGTGTAATGCGGGGAGAGTATAAGCCAACCTCGGATGGTTAGGCCCTCCTCTTTGGAGATGTTGCCGTCCGCCCTATTGGTGGGACATGTGTGTGTGTGTGTGTGTGTGTCATTGACCCGGGTGGCAGTACCACGTCGGTCCATCTACTATTAGAAGTATCTGTCCTGCTGTCTCGCGTGGGCTGTCTGGCTCTTTTCCTCTTCTTCTCCTCCTCCTCTCCTTCTTCTTATGCTTCTTCTGACTCTGGCGTCTTCCCAGGAAACTGGATGGTCTTCCCCGCCAATCCTTCTCGGACAAAATCCCTACCGATATCACCAACGCCACGCCACCCTCAGGCTTCATATGCAGAGCTATCTTGGTCACTTAAAGACATGCCTATAGGATCCGGTAGACCAGTCAGCAGCGCCCGCAGTGGCCGTGTACTCCCCACGACATCAGCCTCGTCTCGTTAGCCACGACCGACGGTGATGAACCTTGCACTTTCTACATGTCACCGAACCAGCCGCGAGCCGAGAAGGATGTCTCTGTTTCGGGAGTTTATATCTGCCTCACGCGTACTAGAGCCAGTCCGTCGACCTACTTAGGAAATGGATGCGACCACCTGGGTTAGATATTACAGCGGGATAACATCTCCGCCTCAGACTGACAGTCCGCCGTCCCGGACAAAAAGAACATCTTGTGTCTCTCGCCGGACAAACATTCTCTTTGGAATCAGGTCGAGAGCTTCGCCCTTTTCTGTGCTCAGTGTCGGGGATATCGATGGGCCTTGACATCACAAGTGGCCTATGCACGGGGCACGTTTTACCCCACCATGCCCGACAACCGGCTTTACCACCAACGGAAAAGACGACCCCTACGGTGGCGATAATGATGCTGGGGTTCGGTGAGCGGAAGGAAGATGCTGGAAGAGAAGAGAGAAATGAAGGAGGAGAGAGGCACAGAAAAATCCAAGCTTCCACGCCGGGCCATATCAACGGGTCTCACAAGAACCATGCAGGTCATCACGGATATGATTTTAAATCTTTCTCGTGGAACGATGATGTGGAATTATCACTGATGTCGGGATTCGACTCCCAACAGTGGCCATGATTGCTACGTCGTCGTACGAGTTATGAGTACGGGGCGGGCGATAGTGCCAGCAAAGCGGCATCGGAGGTGCTCGAGTGGGCCAGAAGATTCAGGACGAGTACGAGTATAACAGAGAAAAGGACGGTCTTGGATGGCTGGATGGGCTGGATGGGCTGGGCTGTGGCGCCAAGGTGGGTTGGACTGGACAAGCAGGAGGCAACGGCCACTGCAACGACTACGGCAACGATTACGGCAACGACTACGGTAACGGTTACGGTAACGGTGACGGTGACGGCTGTCGGATGATTCCTGATGATTCTTGAAGATACGACTACCAATGCCAAGGAGGGCGGGCGGGAGAGTGCTGTAATCAAGCAGGGACGGATTTGGATTCCACGGGGGGATTCCATGGATGAATTTAATGAACGAGGGGCACGATCCATCCGTGCGTGTATGGAGTGATTGACTGCATGAACGAGGGGCAAGCACGCGCTGGGACGGGGGGCAATCGATGGATTGATTCCAGGCTGCTAGTATTACTATGCTAGTATTCCTACTAGTAGCAATACTAGCAGTATCTGGGTGACGAGGTCCTAGAGCGCAACAAGGTGAGAGAGAAGATGATGGAACTAAATGGTAATTCGCTCCCGCAGATGACGCCATGCAACCAGAATGATTCCAAAGGCCTTTACTAATTTCCATAGGCTACTGTCGAATCGCGCACATGTTGGCTGAGAGGGGGGGGGAGGGACCTTGGATGCTTGGAATCTGCTCGGTTTGCTTGGTTCAAAAGCGCTAAAAGTGGAGAGAAGACAGCCGTTCCGGCCTCGGACGTGCGCCGATCATCGACCGGTTGTCCGTCTGTGCCACGTCTCTCTCTCTCCCTCCCTTCTCCCTCGCCCTCTGTGTGTGCCACTCCTGGCTCGGCCATGGCCCCTCTACCCCTCTAGCCCCTCTACCCCTCCATTCACCTTGCCGAATCCACTCCTCGTCCTGCGTCTTTTTATATATCAAACAAAGCTCCATAGCTCCCCTCTCGTTCCCCTTCGATCTCTCGTTGCAACAACATCTACATCTTCTCAGACAAGTGAGTTTTGCGTGCGCTCCTTTTTCCGTCCGGCCTGACCTCCGTCTCTCTTCTCCCCACCATATTAAGAGCTGCCATGCCCTCCTCCTCCTCCCCCCTCCCGGGACTACTTGGATCAGACAGAAAACTAACCATTACCGTTCTTCTCTCAGTTTTTAACTCTTCCCACCCACCAAATCCATCACAATGCCTGAGCTCAAGGTTGGCGACACTTTCCCCGAGGGCGTGAGCTTCTCCTACATCCCCGTCACCCCCGAGACGGCTGAGGTCACCTCTTGCGGCATCCCCACCAAGTTCGACGCTTCTGCCCGTGAGTGTCTTCTCTCTTTTTCTCTCTCTCTTCCTGCTCGGTCCATTTCTTTATGAAGACAGCCTCGCTCGTTGTCTTTGATCTTGTCTTGGTACGATAGGAACATAGACTGACCCCCTCGGCAGAGTTCAAGGACAAGAAGATCGTCCTAGTCTCGGTCCCCGGTGCCTTCACCCCCACCTGCACCGGCTCGCACATTCCCGGCTACATCGAGAAGACTGCTGAGCTCAAGGCCAAGGGTGTCGACCAGGTCGTCATCATCGCCTACAACGACGCCTACGTCATGTCCGCCTGGGGCAAGGCCCACGGTGTCAAGGACGACTTCATCGTATGTCTTCTGCTCCCCCCTCCTTTCTCTCCGAAACCACATCTCTCCACTCACAGGCTCGGTTTGGAAAAGAAGAGAGAAACAAGCTGACATCTGCCTCCCTCTCCCACAGCTGTTCGTCTCCGACACCGACGTCAAGTTCTCCAAGAACTACGGCTGGCTCGCCGGTGAGCGTACCGACCGTTACGCTCTCGTCATCGACCACGGCAAGATCACCTACGCCGCCAAGGAGAAGGTCCTCAACGACACCGACTACACCGGTGTCAACGTCGTCCTCCCCACCCTGTAAATGAGATAAAGACAAAGACGCATATATAAAGTCATGTCGTGTGCCGGGAAATGTCATATTCTAGTTGAGCACCCTAACCGTTCAGCTTGTCTTGTCCTATCTTTTTCGTCTATTTGAAAAGTTGAGGACTGGGCGACAAGGGAAAAAAGGTGCTGGGATGGATTTGTTTTCACCCCATTTTAGACATGCTTGGTCACAATTGACAAAGAAGTAAAAATCTACTCGCCACCTCTCATGATACGTGAATTATGATGAACGGAGCAATAAAAACAGACAGACCGTAGGCTTACAACGTTCCCTAAGCATGAAAGAAAGAGAGAAACATGGCCTTTCATCACGTATTTCACGCTAGGTTTATATCGGTATGCTTATTTGACTCTCTTCTTCAGCTGGTTACTTCCATGCAATGTTAGGCAAGTCCAGTCCGAATGACATCAACAGTTTACATACAGTCGTGGTATCTATCCAGTGGGACATAAAAAGATCGACTGGAACAGAGCCAGAAAAAAATAAGAGAAGAATCGTAAGCACAGGAAAACCATGGATGCTAGGTTTGCTTTTTTTTCTCTCTGTCTCTCTTTTTCTTTTTTTTCATTGTCCGCGCCCAAAGGCGGAGATATATAAAAAAAGCGCTGTTTTCTTTTGATACTCGAGACGGAGGGAGGTTTAATCATTTATATTTTTTGTCCCTTTTTTTCCCTTCACCGTTGCACGTAAAAAAAATAAAGAAAAGTCCACTTCTTTGTTTCTCATCCTCCACTTCTACTTTTTCTCTTTCTTAGCGGGTGCGGGCGGTGGGCTTGGGGGCAGCACCCTTAGCACCCTGCTTGCTGACACCCCTCACGGTCTGGCCCTTGGAAGCGGCGGCGTTCTTGGCCTTGTCGGCCTTCTTGGCAGCCTGGGAGGCGGCCTTCTTCTCCTTGGAGTCCTTGATGGCCTGCTGGCGGGCCGCGGAGCGGGCCTCGGGACGCTGCGAGCGCTTCTCCTTGATCACATCGAGGGAAGCACCGACGATGCCACGCTGGACCTTGACGGTGCGACGAGTGCGCTTCTTGGCGACCTCCTGTTGTGGGTGTTAGATATCTTTTCTCTCTCTCCCTCTCTCTCTCTCTCTCTCACTCTCTCCTTCTCTCCCCTTCTCTCTCTTTCTGGCCCTTTCTTCTGATTTGAAAAGAAAGGGAGAGAGAGAATGGGTAGAAAAAGAGAGGAACTATATCGGAAATATCGAAACGGGAACAAAAGAAGGATCATACCTCAGAGATACCCTTGCGGTGCTGGCGACGGTAGAGGACAGTCCAGGCGATACGGCGGGGGTTCTTGCGCTGGAGGAATAGCGACTCAGACTTGCCGCTCTGGAAGCGGAAAACCTTGGAGTCACCGCGGACGTAGACCTTACCCTGTTAACCAGGGGAAAATGTCATGTCAGCCTTGTGGTCATTTTTTTTGTTCAATCACGATATTGCACCCATCCGATCCTCTCCCCGCCCCCCGCCCCCCCCCCCCCCCTCTTCCTGTTCCACTTGCGTGCCGGCACCCGCGTCTCAAACATGGTGTAAACCTCGGAGTGGATTTGACCCTCATCGGGTCCTTTTTACCCTCACAACAGAATGATCGGAGGGGAAGTCGAGAGGGGGGGTGGGACGGGATGCATCACAAGANGGACGTAGACCTTACCCTGTTAACCAGGGGAAAATGTCATGTCAGCCTTGTGGTCATTTTTTTTGTTCAATCACGATATTGCACCCATCCGATCCCCCCCCCCCCCCCCCCCCCCCCCCCCTCTCTCTTGCTCTTCCACATGTGTTCTATCGTATCATTATGGAGGAGGGTTGAAGGCTCGAAGTGGATTTGACCCTCATCGGGTCCTTTTTACCCTCACAACAGAATGATCGGAGGGGAAGTCGAGAGGGGGGGTGGGACGGGATGCATCACAAGAAGGAGGAGGCATACCTTGCCAGGGTAGATCCTCTGTCCCGAGAAGACGTCGTCGTATGTTCTCATCTTGTCGCTGGTTTGGCGTGTTGCGGCGACAAGGTGGTTGTGGTGTGGACCGTGGAGTTGGCGGAATGGGCGAGGAAGTTGGCAGTCAGTGATCGGTCGTCGCGATACGCTCAAATTTCTCGGAATTGGGGGAGGGCGATTGTGCTGTGTGCGTGCCCTGACTAAGCGCTTCTAGGGCAACTGTCCACCAAAAGTGTCCGTGATGAGCTTCACGTGACTGGATGCCCGCATTATAATACAGGGTTTCATTTTTCTACCCGTGGTTTTTGCATCCGGTCCTCTAAGAGGGACCCACTTGTTCGCCCTGCCTCTCCTCACATAGTTCTTTTAGCCCCTCCTCATTTAACGCGTAAAGTTGGTGCATATAATACTCGTACATACATGCTTTGAATTTTTTCTGTCGAACTCATTATATCCTTCTCGTAGCTCTTTATACATACTCGCTGTCCCATTCTTTTCTTTTATTCGCTATTCTCATCTATAAATTATAAATCCTTCCTTCTTTGTTTTCGCTATAGGTGACGAAGAAAAGGTATATATATATATATATATATACATGTATACATATAGGACACCTGGAGGAACAAGAGGAAAGAAAAGAACTGAAAAAGGCAACAATTCCTTCCAGATTGCCTGTATGAGTATAAGCAGCGTTGACTAGCCCTGATGTTCACACGTCTAGATGACCACCACAAAGGCTGACCGCGTCGCCCAAACCGTCCTTTCACAATTCGACAAGCTCCCATCCAAATCCAAACCCAAGGTCAGAGATAATGGTCTCCACGAATGGGTACCGCTGAGCGGCATCGTCGCCGAGTGGCAAGGTGTTTACACCTGTCTAGCACTCGCGTAGGTCTTCTTTTTTCTTTCTTTCTTTCTTTCCTTCCTTCTTTCTTTCTTCTTTCCTCCGATCCCCCTTTTCTCCCCAACGGTTTCTAAAGATCCTCCTCCGTAGTACTGGCATGAAATGCCTTCCAGCCTCCAAAATCGCCGAGTCAAACGGCATAGTCCTTCATGACTGGCACGCCGAGATCTTGGCCATCCGCACATTCAACCGATATCTGTTGGATGAGTGCCGCAGCCTCGTGATCCATGGCACTGTCAGCAGCGTGGTTGAGAGAGCCCCGGGTTTAGAGTGTCCCTTTCGTATAAGAGACGGCGTCAAGCTGCACATGTACTGCTCCGAAGCTCCCTGTAAGTTCCCCCCTCTCCTACCTCAGAGAAGCATGCCAGTCCTTACTTACGCGGCCCAGGCGGTGATGCAAGCATGGAGCTCACAATGGCCGCCCAGGACGACGCAAGTCCCTGGGATGCCTCTACAGACCCGCCCAGGACCGGCGGCGGCCTCGTCGGACGAGAATTCTTCTCCCAGCTCGGCGTGGTCCGTCGGAAACCCGGCCGGCGTGATGCCCCGCCGACGCTGTCCAAGTCGTGCTCTGACAAGCTGGCTCTGAAGCAGTGCACCTCCCTTTTAGGAAGCCTGACGTCGCTCCTCGTCGACCCGTCAAATGCCTACATCGGCACGCTCGTGGTTCCCTCCTCGCAGTACACGCACGTGGGTTACACCCGGTCATTCTCGGCTGACGGTGATGACGACAGTGGTGGTGGTGGTGGGCGCCTGAGTGCCCTCAAAGACGCGGAATGGTCATCGCCAGAAGATAGCAGCAGCAGCAGCAGCAGCAGATACAGCTTCAGACCGTTCATCGTCGAGACTACGGATCGCGAATTCCGCTTTTCTAAGAGGAGAGTGATGGAGCGCGCGTCCAGCATGTCCATCTCCGCGAGCAACCTAGCTGCCGCGTGGTCTGCCGCGGGCCTCCAGGAGGTGATTCTCGGCGGGGTCCTCCAGGGGAGGAAGACGAGCGATGTCAGGGGTGCGGCCAGGACGTCTAGGAGGCAAATGTTCCTCGCCGCTAGAGATCTGGCCGGGAGACTCGAAAATGGCAGCAGGGCCGACGATGCCCTCGGTACCAGGGTGTATGCAGAGGTCAAGAGCCATCGTCGGCTGGCTACTAGGCGGCGGGTGAAGCGGGATGTGAAGCTGATGGCTCTGACTGGGTGGGTTGAGAACCGGGGTGATGACAACTTTTGCATCGCAGAGGGGTGATACCAATGAGCTGTGATAATATCACGGCGGGGGCGGCGCGTCACTAAAATCTACGGTAAATATCAGAGGGTGAGCATATCACATTGGGCCTGTCGTCTCTATTTTTCCCTTTTTTTGGTTTCTTGTATTTCGCTTGACCCAAAGTTCCGGCAAGCCATGACCCATGATTGTGCTTTTTTGTTTGTGCGTGAGCGTTGACTCTCTCAGAGTCAACGATAAACCCCCCTTCTAAGAATAAACATAAGAAAATATTCCCATGATGTTTTTGGAAGAGAAGAAGAAAATGCCGGGGTGTTCATCATGAGATCCGTAAATCATTTCTCCCTTCGTAAAAAGAGGAGTCAAAAGTATAGGAAAATATGAGAACAAGCTCCCCACTCAGGAAAAAAAAATAAAGTCGCGTCTGTCATTAATTTTTTTTTCGTGTTCCTTTTTTTTTCCTCTCTGCGTGAGCCAGCCAAATAGAAAAGACAGTAATATTTTTTTCGGATTTTGTTTTTTTCCAAAGGGAAATGAAGTTTTGTGGAGTCATTTTTGGCTTATTTTATTTGAGAGTATCGTGTTATATTTATTCGACCTTGCTCTCAAAGTTCTCACCCTCGACGAGGTCGGGGATCTCGCCGTCGTCCTCCTCACCCTTCTCGCCCTTCTGCATGTTCTGGTAGCTCTCGGCGAGCTTGCGGAGTGAGGCGAGGGAGTCGGGGCCGAGCTGGTTGAGGATGCCGGGGACGAGCTCGGTGAGCTCCTTGTCCTCACCGTTACCGTAGATGGCAAAGGTGTTGCTGGGGACAGCGGCGTGGACTGAAGGTTGCGGCGCAAAATCATGTCAGCGGTGTGGTTTTGGCGGAGGGGGGAGGGGGATGTATGGGAGGTTGCACACCCTTGGGGGCAGCAAAGTGCAGGACGTTGCCGTCAGACTTGAACATGTTGACCTCGTCAATGGCCTGGATGGGCTGGGTGCCGAGCTTCTTCAAGCTCTGCTGAAGCTTCCTATCGTCGGCGGCGGAGCGGGCGGGAGCACGTTTGACCTTGCGACGGGGGGTACCCTTGCCACTGATTTGGCGTTAGCCATCATCGCACACGCACACAGCACGCACACACTTAAGGAAAATCCGGCGATGAGGACGGGGGGGGGGGGGGTTTCAAAATTTTGAGGTGAGGGGTCATCGGCCGATGTCGTCGTCGGGGGAGGGGGAAGAAAACATACCCTGTCGAGACAAGTTAGCAATCATCAAAATACAATTTTCATATATGAAGAATAGATATGAGAGGCCAAGAAAAACATACCGATACGGGCTCCCTGGCCAAGCTTCTTGAGGCGCTCCTGGATGTCAGCCATGGTGGGCTATATGAAATATGCTGAATCGGAGGGGAAAAGAGAAAAAAAGGCTAGGCAAGGCATTGTCAGTTTCGTCCCATAATACACGCGCCCGGGCAAGAAAATCATGATGTAATGGTATCATTCAATCAAGCAGAAGCAGAGCTTCAACATGATGGCAGAAGAGTACATACCGGTATATCGGAGTCGCTGATGGAGCAGTTGTCGCCGTCGACTAATGCTGTCGATGATGGTAGTTCAGAGGAGATTTTGTGCGTGCCAAGAGTTTGGGCTCGGGAACATCTATTTCCCCGGGGGTGGGCGGTCCCGCGCCCTGGTCTTCTGAGCAGAGCAGCAGCAGTCCGAAGTCTCCAAGCATGACCACAGGTAGTGAGCGGTATGTGGGGTAGCAGCACCTTTAGGGGGTACGTACCCAGGTTAGTAATGCGCTCGTCTCTTAATGGCCTACAAGCTGGGCAAAAAAAAAAAATCATTGTCGTCATATTGACGAAGGAGAATTATGAGCAGATGCAATTAGATATGAAGAATATATGCATGTGTGTAGGTATGTGGCAGCCTGCCCGTGAGAATCAGTGGTAGATTGCACGTCAAAAGGTTACAATATTATATAAGGGTACGTTTCTCGTGCCTTGGATCACGTTACAGTAGTAATACAGACAGACATCTCGTCGAGCCTGGCCAGATGTCGGGAGAGAGGGAGGGGGGCGCGATGTTTTGAGGTGGAGGGTATCAACAGAGGCATTGTGGCGGCGAAGGAATCACCTCCAGCCAAGCCAGCTGAACCATCCTCGTCCTTGACTAGCCTGGTCAGCGCCAACAGGAGCCTCGGGACTCTTGGTCGTGACGGCAGCATCGTTCGGGGCTGCCGCTCCTCCGAGGCCGGCCTGTCTCCTCATCTCCTCCCTGCGGGCTGCAGCCTCGATATCCCTCGTCTTGGCATCTTCAATCGCCTTTTTCTGCTGCCTCTCTCGGTCCTCCTTGGCGACCACCCAGACTATGGAGGATGCATCAGTTAGTCGTTACACCCCATGTTATCGCACGCGCGCGCGCGTGTGTGTGTGTGTATGGCATGACGTACTCGGCTTGTCAGACTTGGAGTACTCTTTGAGCTTGGTAACAAACTCGTCAAACTCCTGCTCACGCGCGGCGCGTCCCTCGAGACTCCTCCTCCTCAAATCAGGGTTATATTTCGCTCGAATCTCGTCCTCAGTGGGTGTCACCCAGGACGTAAACATAGGTCCACCGATGCCGGCTACCAAGCCACTGTTCACCCTTATCGTCAGCTCTCCATAATACATGAGCGCAATGCGCGCGCGCGAAACGTGTTCGTCCCGGTCAGACATGAAGACAAGGGGGAGGGGGGAACGTACGCTGCAATGACCTTGCCCCAGAGGTTCCAGTTGGTGGGCTTTTTTCCCATGGCCGGCGAGGGTGGGTAAGTTTTCTGTGGCTGCAGTTTTTCGGCCGGTTGAGTGGCGGGTACGTTGTTGCCTGGGGGCGGCAGAAGTCCGAGAGAGAGAGAGAGAGAGAGAGAGAGAGAGAGAGGAGAGAAAGTTGATTGGCGTCGGACGATGATGTTCTGATGATGCAGGAAGTCCTGGTCGATCCTTTGTCAGGGCTTTCGACGGACAGGGGTGCATTAGTGTTGTGGCTCATGGGCGATGTGTGGCTGATGTGGCGGCGGGGGCGCCACAGCACGGTTGCTAGTACCCATGTTGGTTACATGCATACAGTGAATCGCGAATCAGCTAAATCCCGTACATGCATCAGAAGGGCTGTCGGCCTTTGAGGGGGGGGATTCGAAACTATCGGAAACAATTGTCGGCTCTTGAATGGGATTGCGGGCGGGAGATTATGCAGAGTGTCAATATAGCAGCACTAGACTCCTAGATCCTAGAGGTGACGCCACATCACGGAGAGCACAATCGCCGAACAATATATGCGACGAGCCGCGCCCTAGGACAAGCCTCGAGGATTTCAAGCCAAGGGGGAGAGATGGCACGGAGGGGCCCAGGAGGGAGAGGGGGATGAGATGAGTCCGAGCATCGAAGGGACAAGAGGCAAGGGACGCGTACACGGTACGGGTACGGGTACGTACGTACGGCCTGTACGTGTATTATTGCATGTATCGTTACATGTAAGAAATATCACCTAGTACGGAACATGGCTGCCCAAGGAGCAAAGTGTCATGGCCCATGGTCCACGGGTGGTGCGTCGTGACACGGGCTTGGCGACTTGCCGGTCTCGCGGATTGGGGAAGTAAGGGATCTGATTGGGGCCAGGGGTGTGTCGCAACGTGTTTTAGGACCCAGCCAGTGCGCGACGTGACGAGGACCCTTCAAGGGGAGGAGGTCTTGCCCCTCTGGATCAGATGCTGCGTTGATAGAGGACGAAACTCGTGTATGGGATGCGAGTTGTAAGCCGGTGATGGCGGCGGTGGTGGTTATGGTGATGGTACTGATACTGCGAGATTGCAGACATCACTGCGTCCAGCGAGTAGGGTATTAACGGTATATGCGTTGGTAAGTATTGATGAGACTTGCGACAGAGGTGTTGCAGGCTGCCGATGTCGATAATGCAAGACTGGTTTACAGGTATATTCTACCTGTAGATGCATGCCCTTCCCTCCCCATCCCGCTCTCCAGCTTTTGATAGTCGCTAGGGGTAGAACAGTCCAGCTCACATTCATTCCACCTCATCGAGGGCACGTGGTCAGCTTGCTCTCAGGGCGTTATCGCTAAGACGGGAGACCTGAGAGGTTCGGGGGGATTCCCATACGGGGCCGTAATGTGCTAAGGCTACTGGTATATATGTACACTGTACGGATTGCATGTACTGATACTGACAGCCCGGGTCTAAGACAAGTTATAGTGGCCTGTGGTAATAACGGCTGCTACGTTGTACTATCGTTATTATCGACTGTCACCTTTTATTATATTATGTACATGACTGACACTGTCGCGGTTATACTTTATACATGTCTCCCTACAGTCAGTCTACTAGTATTACTACGACTACAAAGCCACCGGGGGATTTATTTACTTTCCTTTTACTACCCGTCCACGTTACGGTTACGGCATAACAAACGTAATCTGTACGTGTAATCTGTATTGCCTGCACATACTAAATACAGTAGAGTCCATCCTTCCGGTCGCGGGACAGGGCCGTGGGACGTTTGAACGACGATCCCTGGGGCCCAAATGGTTGGATGATTGGCCCTGGTTAGCGTCCCACTTGACAGCCGATGCCAGGCACCCGAAGAAGCGTAAAGGGCTGCCCCCCCCCCCCCCCCCCCCCCCCCCCCCCCCCCCCCCCCCCCCCCCCCCCCCTCCCCCCTTCCCCCCCCCCCTTCCCATCCTTCAGGTCAGCTGCCCACCGCAACGAGGCACACAAAGACACACGGGGCTGGGAAACACACACAAGACGTTCAACCAAACCGCGAGACCCCCGTCTGTCAGTCCCTGTCTCTCTCACGCACGCCCCCTCCCCTTCCTTCATCATCATCTTCTTCTTCCCCATAATATACTGTGCGTCCTACTGTCTCTGTCTGGTTGCATTGGAGACGAAGAGCCCATCAGACAGGCCTTTTTCTTCTTTTTTTTTTTCCATTCTTTAATTTCCTTTTTTTTCTTTGGTCTGTTGCTATAATATCGACATTTCCCAACAACGTGCCCGCCTTCGATATACCGCAGCAACCCGAATTCTCCAGGAGGGGCTGGTCCTACTACGAGCAATACTACTACTGCTAGGGACTACCACCAGGGACTATCACTACCAGTAGTGGTACTACCCAACGACGCGCGACCCCATCCGCTCGCGTCCTCCTTTCCCTCTTGCTCGCGACAAGTACAGCCCAAGAAGCGCCGGGCGCCTAATACCGCAAACTCGATATCTGCAACTGCGAACCTGTCGTTTTTATCCATCTCCTACGCTTCTCTTTTACGCCTCTGCTTGCTCGGGACTCCTCCCCGAAGATCGTTCGGCCACGCGGCCAGCGCTTCTCGGTCCGCCCAACCTCGGACAACAAAGACGACGTAACACGAGCTTCAGTCCCACTCTCCGGCCGACCGTCTTCTCTTCTCTTCGCTCTTTCTGCTACCTTGCCTTTCCATCTTTTGCTTTGTGCCTCACCGCATTTGAAAGTAGCTTGCAGCTCGAAGCTCTGGAATTTGTCGATCGGACAGCTCTCTCTCTCTCTCTTCTCTTTCTGTCTGCCCGGACATGTAAAGTGTTGATTGCCGAGATATTGACCACACACGCATGCCACCCTACCGAAATCCATGCACAAAACTCCAGGTGGATTGAGCATTTACAGGAAAACATAAAAGGGGGGAAAGAAGGTTGGAAAGATGGCGTATCATGCAGCACATGGTCCTCCTGCCCAGGCCTATGGAGGCCCGCAGCCTGGAGCACCGCGACCCCCGCCCCAAGGACGTGGAGGGCCACCACCACAGCAGCCATATGCCGCGCCGGCGCAGCAGTACGACGGATACGACGATTATAATGCTTACGCCAACGGGAATGGTTACGGCTACGATGACTACGCGAACGGTGGCAGTTACGGTCAGCAAGACTATGGTGGCGGTGACCCTTACCAAAACCCAGACTACGGCCGAGCCCCCCCTCCGCCGAGACAGGATTACTATGGTCCGCCGCCTGCCGGGCGAGGTATGCCGCCTCCGCGTGGACGAGGAGGGCCCCCCATGAGAGGAGGTATACCCCCGAGAGGACGTGGAGGACGCCCGCCGCCCATGGACCCCAATGGTGAGTACCCTACTCCGTTTTGTTCCCTTCCTAGCAACGATACTGATACACTCCAAAGTTGGGCGCCGCCCATCCATGAATGACGGCTCAGCTAGCCCCCGCCAAGTTGGCCACGGAGACGCCTACGGACATGGAGACATGGACCAGATGGCCAAGCAGATGTCGGGTATGGATCTCAACGGACAGATGCCCTCGCGCTCAATGTCGAGTTCTGACGGCCAACGAGGCCGTGGACGAGGTGGTATGAGCGGAAGGGGAGGGCCCAGAGGCGGCCCGCCACCTCCCCAGCAACAGGGATACTACGGCCCAGAGTACGGCCCCTCTCAGGGCGATGGCGGTGGCTACGGGGGCTATGACGACGGATACAGCCAGCCGGAATTTGGTCCCCCGGGGAGGACCATGACGATGCCCAATGGCGGCATCGGCGGTCCACCTCAAGATATGCTGCCGCCCCAGCGGGCAAGGACAATGTCCTACGATGACCCTGCCGGACGGGGTGTGCCGCAGCGGCCCTCGACGGCGTCCGGTCAACGCCCGCCGCCGCAACGCGCCTACCCCGGCGAACCTCAGGGTCCGGTCGGTTACGACCAGTACGCCGGCGGTGGTGGCTACGATGACTATGGCCCGGGTGTCCCTCCCGAGAGAGCATCATACGAGGGCGGCTACAACGTCGGCGGCGGCGGCGACGGCGGGGGTGGCCCCTACTACGACCCCGGACGCGGGAGCTACCAGAGCGACCAGTACTCGAACCACTCGGGCATGCCCGATTTTGACATGATCCCCTCCAACGCACGCAGCTCTTTCGATCAGGTCATGCAGCCGACACACGAGTATCCGCAACCTGGCGCCCACCAGACGGCCAAGCTGAACCACGCCAAGTCGCAGCCCGAGCTGCGGCAGCCCCAGACGGCCGTGTTCGAGATGGCGGGCGACATCCCGGCCGTCCCCCCCATGCCGCCCATGAACACAGCTGTCATGAATGGCGGCGTCGGCACGGGCATGTATGGGCCTGGGCCTATGCATGGGCCTGTACCCGGGTCCGTACCAGGATACGGACCCGAGCGCATGGTTCCGTCCCGGGGCCCGAGCGCGCCCCCGGGACCGACCAACTTGCCGGCACCGACACCCATGGGCCCCTCTAGCAGGAATCCCGACTCGCTGCCGTCTCACCCGACACCTATCCGAGCTGGCCTTATGGCCAACTCGATGGTCAACATGAATGACAAGCCGCCACCGGTGCGCAACTACGGTGGCGTGCCTCCGGCAGTCGTCGCGGCGCGGACGCAGCCCCAGGCCCAGCAGCAGATCCAGGGTGCGGGGCCGCAAGCCGTAGCGCAGGTGCGCGTGGTGCCGCAGAAGCAGCCGGAACCTCCGGTGACGTCACAGGAGCTGGAGCAACTGCGCATGTCGCTCAAGGTCAACGCCAACGACTCGAAGACAGCGCTGCGGCTGGCGAAGCGGCTGATCGAGGCGTCGGACGTGCTTGTCGCCAAGATGCCGGACCCGCGGGCGCGCGGGCGGGCGCGGGAGCGGTACGTCATGGACGCGCACAAGATCCTGCGCAAGCTGGCAAGCGCGCAGAACACCGAGGCCATGTTCATCATGGCGGACAACCTGGGGCGGGGCACGTTCGGCGGCGAGCCCGACACTAAGGAGGCCTTCACGCTGTACCAGGCGGCGGCCAAGCTGTCGCATGCGGGCGCGGCATACCGCACGGCGGTGTGCTGCGAGATCGGGCACGAGGACGGCGGCGGCACGCGGCGCGACCCCCTCAAGGCCATGCAGTGGTACAAGCGGGCGGCGACGCTGGGCGACCCGCCGGCCATGTACAAGGTGGGCATGATCCTGCTCAAGGGCCTCCTGGGACAGCCGCGCAACCCGCACGAGGCCATCGGGTGGCTGAGGCGCGCGGCCGACGTGGCCGACTCGGAGAACCCGCACGCGCTGCACGAGCTGGGCCTGCTGTACGAGTCGGCCGAGCCGGTGGTGGGTGACGCCTTGGTGCGCGACGAGCGCGCCGCCTTCTCCCTGTTCCTGCAGTCGGCGGAGCTGGGGTACAAGTTCTCCCAGTTCCGGCTGGGCTGCGCGTACGAGTACGGCAGCCTGGGCTGCCCCGTAGACGCCAGGATGTCCATCATGTGGTACTCGCAGGCGGCGCAGCGCGGCGAGCACCAGTCCGAGCTGTCGCTCAGCGGCTGGTACCTCACCGGCAGCGAGGGCGTGCTCAAGCAGAGCGATCAGGAGGCGTACCTGTGGGCGCGCAAAGCGGCCATGGCCGGGCTGGCAAAGGCCGAATACGCCATGGGGTACTTTACCGAGATGGGGATCGGGTGTGCTGCTAATGTTGAGGATGCAAAGAGGTGGTATTGGCGAGCAGCTGGTATGATTTGTTTTCTCTCTCTCTCTCTCTCTCTCTCTCTCTCTCTCTCTCTCTCTCTCTCTCATATCTTTCTGCCCCCCCCCCCCTCTCCCTTCTTTCCTTTTCTTATGCGTAGATATATTATTGCTAACTCTGACCGAAATACAGCCCAGGACTTCCCTAAGGCTCGTGAACGTCTCGAAGACATCAAACGAGGCAAGAATAACCCCAGCGCTACTAGGCCACCGGATAGATTCTCTAGAAGCAAGATTGAGAAGCACCAAGAGGGTGAATGCATTGTCATGTAGGGAAGAGGGAGACAACCGGTAGATTTGATGGAGACAGATAGGATTAGGGATGCATATATCTTGCGTCTAGGAATATAATACTGTATGTAGAAGAGAGAGAAAAAAAGACAAAGGGTTAAAGAATTGCGTGGCTTCTGGTAGTAGAATAGATGATTGAATGACAAATATGGGGAGGGGGGGGGGGGGGCTTTTGGGCCTGAGTTGCAAGAGTTACCCTGTATGGGATCCCTTGGAATGTAAAGATGTGCGCGTCACGGTTTCATTGGAACCTCGGCATCATATTTCGTTGTGGATTCTGCATCACAGGCAATAGTCAGGTGTTGAGAGGATGATGCGGGTGTATGAATACGGTCGATTGAACGTTGTTTGAGAAGTTTCCTTGGTCTACAACAGAAGATGGTGTGTGACTGATGACGTGGTAGTAGGAGGAGAAAGAGGGGGGGGGGGGAGGAGATGATGAGAGCATACAACTGAAGGTGGGAGAGTCAAGAAATCAACTGAGGAGAAGAAGAGAGAAGAAGAGCAGTACAAGTACATGTTGGATGTTACATTGGATGGTGATACATATAGTACAGGTTTTTTTTTTAAAAAAAAAAAAAACCAACAGTATTTAGGTGTTTGTGCGTGTGTGCGTGTGTGTTGTGTGTGAAGATTTATATATCATCGTCCAAACAGACCCCCGAAGGAAGAAGCACCGCCCCCGCCACCAGCATTACCACCACCGGCAGCCTGTTCCCTGATCCACTCCTGGAGGAAACCCCTCTCGGCCATCTTCCTGGGATCGGACAACCTGGCGGCCGGCTCGCCCCTCCTGGCGTCGAAGGCGAGCAGGGTGGGCAGCGCGGTGATCATGTAGCGCGACGCCAGCTCCTGCGTGTCGGGGGCGTCGAAGTCGACGCGGACCAGGTTGACGGGGCTGCCGTCCTCCTGTCCAACGCGGGCGTCCCGCACGAGCGAGATGACGAGGGGCTCGACGGCGCGGCACGAGGGGCACCACGAGGCCGACCAGAGGGTCAGGAGGGTGGCGTTGGAGGCGGTGGATAGGGATATGTAGGTGTGGAGGCTGCTGGGGTAGCGGACGCTGCACGGGTCCAAAGTCAGCCACGACCCCTCCTCATCTTACGTCTACTGCGAGTGCTGAATGCTGTATATGCACGAGATGCAGATTTGTTCCATGTGTGTATAGGGAGACAAGCGAAGGGGAGGGGAGGAAAGGAAAGCATACGGATCGAATACCTGGTTCTCGACAGGTTTGGATGATGGCGGGAGCGTCAGGTGACGACGAGAATTGACGACACCGAACGGTAGCTTGGCAGAAGCAGGCCGGACTAGTGCTCGTGCTCGCAGTGACAGGGTATGCATGTCTTATGCAGAATATAAGTGATATGACAGACGAAGAAGAAGAATCAAAAAGAAGAAGAAAGCGTCGTCGTCGTCGTTGTTGTTGTTGTTGTTGTTGTTGTTAATAGTTATTGTGGTGTTTCGATACTGACGTCTTTGTGGTGGGAGGAGGGGGGGCCGCTAATGGAATTGAAAGACGAGGGAAAAAAAACAAGGAGCAAGATAAGAGAACTAGGGATGACGAATAACACACACACAGACACAGACACAGACACACATAGAAAAAGAGTTAAAGACGGGGCCAGAGAGGATAATATCAGGTGGAACTACTCCGTACTCCGTACTCCGTTATAATACCCGCATGAAAAATGGCAATGCAGAGCCAAAGCCTAAGGAGTTGGGGGACAGGGGAGCCTAGGACAGATGGATCATGGACGGAAATATGAAAGATGAGAGGTGAGGAATGATTGGAACTGGAGCTGTTGGGTTGGCGTTCATCGACGACGGAATAGACGGGATATTCACTGCCGGGGCCCGGGACATGGGGGGGAGTTTATAGTGGCATGCAGTATCAACACCGCGTACGGTACTCCGTAATATATATATACATATATATATATATATATATAAAATGATATAAAAAAAATAAAAATAAAAGAGGTCGTATCCTAATAATCGAATAAGCGCCGGATACGACCAGGCAGGCGACGCAGAGATGCTTCTTCAGCGGACTCGGTGATTTTTAGTGGAGGGTAAGGCCTCCTCGGAGCCTCCACCAAGGCACATGACGCTCACCGCTGAGGGGTGAAGGGGGGG